GTCTGCCCTGTGATCTGGCAAACTGCTCTACGTCCCCCTGGCAGGTCTGCAAAAGTCTATTTCTTAGTCTCAGATCTTCAGCTGCAAAACGAGAACAATTGTGCAAGTATTTTGCAAATTTAAAATACCAGACAAATGGTACATACTTGCAATTGTATATCCCTCTCCCCACCATTCTGGCAGAGGACATGTTGGGAATTGTAGGACTTTCCCCTTTCTAAACATATGCCCTAAGCGAATTAATACTTTCTGCACAGTACTCTCATAACAGCATTGACAGGAAAGATGACCTACAACATCAGAGAGGTCTTGTTTAAGTCTGTGTTTATTACTAAGATAGGCTTCACAACAGATGTGATTTGGTTTGTGTACATACATCCATATCAGATTCAAATGCCCTTTTGTGTCATGATGGGTGATGCACAGGTCTAATAACCCTGTGCTGGGTTTTTACGTTGAATGTCACATATTTCTAGGGTAAAAATGAAATCTCACCTGAATACTCAGGCTGGCCCAAGAGAATTCACTGACATTAAAAAGTGGCAAATGGCACAGACACATCCTGCCCAAGTCAAGATCAAGTCTGGTTAAGTTAGTTCAGCACCCCAGGCACAAAATGCCACATACACTCCTCCACTTCCTTTGGTACCTTTTATCATGTCAACACCCTGACTTAATGACAGTTTTTTATAGATGCCAACACCTTCCATGCACAAATCTTGGGCATACCCACCTCTGTTTCCATCTTTTTTCTTAGAACAGGAAATCCATTAAGGGGAAAAACAAAACAAAAAGCAAAACAGAATCACTACATAACTTCTGATCACTGCTAGAAGCTCGCTATATGGACATACAAAATGGCAACAAAAATTCAGTAACAGTGACTTATGGTGTGATCTCATGCATATTTAGTCAGAAAAAAAAAAAAAAACTACAAGTTCCCCGCTCCCATCTAAACATATATAGGGTTTAAACCTTAAATAACTCACAAGCATCTGCCCTTTAATGCCACCCAATAACCATTTCAGGCAGGGTGATACACACTGATTTATTTATTTCAGATATTTAATTGCTTCCATATAACAAAATGTTTTCAGGGCAGGTCCCACATTAAAGCAGGTTAAAACAACAAATACAACAATGCAACTCTAAGAACCAAAGTACTCAATGTATTAAGTAGATATAAGCCGATCCTCTCTTAAAAAAAATAAAATAAAATGACAGTGTAGCAATTCCACAAGCTTACTTTACATAAGAGCCCCTCATGCATGGATTGGAGAGGTTTAGACCTTCCCCACCACTCCAGCCACTTGCTTTCTAACACCCACTTGCAAGGGCTAAGAAGAAAGATGGACAGACAGACAGACTCACTCTCCATTCCGGGTGCCTCCTTCAAAGTGGGGGCTGATTTCAGAAAACGCTTGGTGGGGAGGAGGTTTAAACTTAACCGTTTATGCAAGTCATGGTTTTGATCTGGACTGTGGCCCCAGACACTTTCAGAGTAAATAGAAAAGAGAGGGTCAGGTGCATACTAGGCATTTAATGTATCTTGTCATTTGATCCTACGAAGTCTGGGAGAAGAGACATGTCTTTGCCTAGTGCTGAGAACAATCTGTGACAGTCTCACTTCCTAGAGGAAGTCATCATAACTCTGTGAAAGGCTTCAGGGTTCTTCCCAGGTTGCAAAATGCCCTTCTCAAAGGTAGTCTATGAGCCACCCTGGGGTGAGATTTCACAAAGGGGAGTATCTAAGTTATTTGGATACCAAACAATCTGCATGATTGGTCAGACAAAACAGAACTTTTTGCTAACACTGAGAGTGGTCACATTGCTGCTCATCTGGCACCTATTTTGTGATCATTTTGGCACCTGAGGACAACTTATTTTCTCAGTTGCCAACAAGACATTTCATGTTGCAATTTAATGCTTTGAGGCATTGTATGTTAATTCTTTACGGTTTGGAAGCTGCTCAGACGACATTGGTTTTGGGAAGCCTACATAAATATTATAAACAAATGCATAAAATCCAATATGGGTCAACAGAATTTGCACAACCACATTCCACATTAACTGAAGAAAGGAATTAATTTTATAGCACCAAAATATTGCCATTTCAGCTTGAGGAAGGTGTGATACCCCTACACCAGAAGATCGAATTCTAGGAGAATATGTGTCAATGTTATTTGAGAAATGAGAAGCAATGGCATATGTGGGGAGAAAGCTGCTCATAAATGTGCCAGTTTCTTTCCTGGAGTGCAAATAAAGCTTGCAGGTCCTCTGAGCCTGAATAGTACCTGGATCTGTGCAGAGTCAGGAAGACTCACACAAGCAAACAAAACCCCAGTACTATTATGATAGGACAGGATGGGTGAATATGTAGAAACTTTTGGGTTATTCTTAATAAGCAATAGAAGCACTCAAATGGCAGACAAAATTGAGAGGGGCAATGGCTGAGATGAGAGAAACAAACTTGAAGGCCACACTAACTTGTTGACTCATACTCAAACTCTTAGAAGCAGTGCATTGATCAAACCAAATTAAGGATGCTGTGCAGGAGATCTGCATAGTAGTTTCAGAGAGAAGTCATGAGAAACAATTGGCTCAGCCATCCCCTACCTGATATTTGCACAAGCTTCCATGGGTTAATTCTGTTTTTATAATATTATCAAATTTCCACTAACGGCCATTAACAACATCAATGTTCTACAGGTATTTTCATTTTAATAACATCTCAAAGATAGGGATAAGAGTACTATGCAGATAAGAAAGCGGAACATTTGTTTTAGACACATTGTGCCAGGAGACACCCACCAAGGGCATGCTGAACATTAGCCGTTTTTCCATTCATATTTCCCCTCCCTCCATTTCATATTCTTTGTAAATATGAAAAAAATAAGACTGTAATCAAAGCACATTAACTAGCAAGTCCGGGTTACTCTATGTGCTCAATGGATAAATAATAACTAAAGCAAAGGACAGAAACATCTGGCCATAAGCAGCTGTTGATCTGATGGGTGTTCGCTGTCTTCTGCAGCAGGACTTCCAGGCTGGGGCCCTCCGGTTGTGCTCAGCTGCAACTCTCACAATTGCCCAGCCCACACAGTGCACTCCAGTGTTGGGGAAGTGATGCATGGCACCAAATAGGACAACTCCTGATGTTACCAGAAAGTTCTGGATATGTTTTGTTTGGCCGGCTATGCAGATTACTTTGTATCAAAATAAATACCACCCTTGATAAAATCTCATCCTGGGGTAATGCTCAATACGATTTAAACCATGATGGAGGGGATTCGGTGTCCAGACTGAGGGTGTAATCCTATCCTATATAATATATAATGCAATCGAAACAGTAACAGTATCAAACAGAAAACCGAAAGCATTTTTGAGCGACCCATATAAGGTCCTGAAATGGCTGAATCATAAGGCTTTGGAGAGGGAGTAGTTGCTGGCACTCTGGGAAGCACTGCTCAGAGAGAGTTTGCTTCTTGAGCAAACCCTTGAAAAAAATGTTGTTGTCATCCCATGAATTCTAGGGACACTTACAAATGGGATTGTTTTGTTCTCCTCCGCCTACCATCCCATGACACAGATAATCTTGCAAAGGATTTTGATGAAATAAAAGCAAAGGGATCAAAGGGACCACTTTAATTTGCCTCTGGTAGCAGGAATTCTTTGGTAGACCTTCTCCAGAACTCATCTATATGTCCAGTGGACGCTTTCCATGGTTCACACTGCATAAGGCAAAAGAAGACAAATCCAAAGGTCTGTCTTCCACATGATGACTTGGAATCTGTATGCTCTTTCTACTAAACATCCTTCTCAGTCCAAGAGCCATCCTAATGAACTCACTGCTTCTTGGCTTGCTATGGGAACCCCTCTAATTCCCCCATGATGGGATGCATTTCTTTTCAAGCATTGCACAATTAGGCAAGTCACATCAAAAATAGAGTGTGGAGGAACTCATAGTATGGCAGTGTTGCTTTTGAACCCTTTCCCAACATTCTGAGCAGTATGAACCCAGGTAAGACCACTCCCACCCACCTTCTACTGCAGGGAAATGACAGGCAACCCAAATGCAAGCAAGGCAACCAGTATTACTATTGTCATTATTCTTCACATTTCTATACTGACCAATAGCCCAAAATCTCTGGGCAGTTTACAGAAGATTAAGCCATAAAAATACAGTCTAAAGCATAATACAAAAACTATTTAAATACGTCGGCTATTAATATAGGTATATAGATGAATGTGTGTTAGATGGACAGATGTGTTAGACTTTCTGTCCTCAAGCTGTTTGATGCCACAAAGCTGAACTTCTGGGGCTGGCATTAGACCATTTTGTGCTAAGGATGATTCCTCAAATTACTTGTGTGAGTGAAGGGAAAGAATGCAGGGAATGGGAAAATGTAAGTAACTTCTTAGAAAAAATGCAAAAGGAAAGGGTATAGAACAAGGCACAACTTTTCATGCATGGAATTACATGTAGGCCCAAAATGATCAACATGGCTGCTTGTAATTCAGCCAGACCATTCTGCAGCCTTGGGTTGTGATGTTGCACTGGGCAAGGGGATAGAACAACCCGTTTATGCATGTTTAATCAGAAGAAAGGTCTCCAACATGCAACATTCTCCAGCCAGCATGGGTAGCTGAGGAATACTGCAAGTTGTATGACTTTTTCTGCCAATATATGCATGAGATTGCACCCTTAAAAAGTTAGGATAAGACCCTCACTCGTCCCTCTGTTTCCACAGTAATGCATTCACTGGATTTATTGATATTTACAATATCGTATGATGAAGACATGCCTCAGGTAGGATTTCCAAGTGTTTGCAAACAAAGTGAGTCATCAGTTGCTTCGTTTTCTGACTTTCAGGAATGGTCAGGACTTTGTTTATTAATAGATGGTCACCTTCAGGTAAAGGTGGGTGTTTCTGCAGCAGGTATAAAAGCCCTGAGAATGCATAGAACATGCACCAGAGTAGCCTCTGTTGAATGGCAGGATGAAGTGCCTTGCGGTCCTCCTCAGCATTGTCACCCTCTCTGAATGTTTGATTAAGTAAGTTAAAATTTTGTTGCTCCTCTTTGCTTCCCTGGCACCTACAATTCCTAATTATGTTACCAAGCAGTAGAAGAGAGCCTGTGAACTGGTATTTTCAGAGCTAAAATTCTATTCAAACTATACACAAGCACACGACATTGATCTTTAAAGCACTGATTACATGGAGAGACAAAAGATACCTTAAAAATTTGTTAGGAAGAATTCATTTTATATCAATCAGTTTTTAAATGCTTTTACGTCTATAGCACTTACCTCCCCATTCCTTCTTTCAACTATTTTATAATGGTTTTATTATGCTATTCTTGCTGCTGGGTTTATTGTTGGTTATATTTTATTGTTGGCTATATTCTCTCTCTGTTTCCTATTAACTGAATGTTATGTGGTTTTAGATGTTATGTTTTTTTAAATTTTATTATGATTATATTATGTTGCAGTTTCTGTTTTCCTGTGAGTCACCCAGAAAGCTTTTGGGCTATGGGGTGGACTACAAATACAATAAACTAACTAACTAACTTAACTTCTTGAGGGCTGAAGCAGATAAACTTACAACTCCATCTTCAGTGCAATCTGGTGGAGGATTGTGGGTTAAATTAATCTTTCTTGATGCTGAAGTACTCTTTGATAAAGCTGAGTGGGGCTGATCTCTCAATCCAATGCATATTTAGGTGAAAAAAGCCCTACACGTCCCAGTATTCCTCAGCTAGGCATGCAGGCTGGGAAATACTGGAAGTTATAGGACCTTTTCTGTCTAAAAATGCCTAGAACTGTGCCCCAAATGCCTTAATTTTGGAGGAACTTAGATCTAGCAGCTAATAAAGGGGGCAGAGTGATGTCATGGAGGATGCAAACCTACTTGCGACTCCCCAGACTCAGAAGTTATGCACATCTGATGCAAGGCAAAGGGTGCAGTGGCGGTGATCTTGTCCACTAATATGCCGTGCATCCAGCATTTTATCTGGAAGGCTTTTTGGCCTTCTATGGGGAGGGAAGATGGCCTCTGTGCCAACTGGAATAAGCATGACTCCATGGTTCCAGCCTCCCTGCTCTTCAGAATGCCCAGTTGCCCCTCTCTGAGGCCCAGCTGTGACCTGGGCAGTGGGGAGCTAGTGACATTCTTTCAAGGCCAGCCGCAAGGGGTAGAGCAGCAGCTCTGCTTTCCAAGTCCTGGGTGCAAGATTGCATCTCCGATCTGGGACGCCTGAGATCTCCTAGATGATGTTGGTGGGCACAAAATGATCATGAAATTATCACATTTGCAAGAGCAGGGGGTGAAAAAAACCAAATTTAGCCATCTTGGTTTTTCTGTATCAGTTTTCCATTACAGAGAGGGAAAAGTCTGAGAGACATTCTCCAGGAGGAGAATTTGCTGGAAGGTCTTCTTCGGAAACACCATTATGACATTGGCAGCAAATATCATTTGCCTAATGCTGCTCAGTTTGCTGATGAACCACTTATGAACTACTTAGATGTAAGTTGGTGCTTTATTCCTATTGACTTCCAGTACCACAAAATTACTTTACTGATTTCTTGAGATGAGTGCTGTGTTTGAGCAAGCTTCACTCTGCAAGAAATTGTATTTATTTACCATGCATTAATGTTTGTGTAGAGTGAGGAATCATGACAGATCTAGTGCTTTATTTCCCATATATGACTTACCTTTTAATACACACGCCTTTACTTTCCACCGTTTATTAATGCTCTACACATTTGGATGATAACCTTTCTGTAAATAATAATAATAATAATAATAATAATAATAATAATAATAATATGGATGGGAGTAGTCATTTCCACATATTCTTTTTTTTTATTCTTTCAGTTTTGTAGCACTCAGATTTATTATAGTTAGCAGATGTGCTTTTATGAATTAACAGGCACAATACTATGGAACAATCTACATTGGAACCCCACCACAGAAGTTCACTGTTGTGTTTGACACTGGATCATCGAATCTCTGGGTACCCTCTATCTACTGCCAAAGTCAGGCATGTCGTAAGTAACCAATTGATTGAAAGTAGTTCAAGCATCTCCAATCTTTGTTCTCATTGGCAAGGAAAATTAGAGATGAACTACAGGATATGGGCCTGGCTGGGACCACGATTCTGTTTACTAAGCGTCCATTGAACACAGTGGGTATTAATTATGAAAATAAATGATGATAAAATTAGACTAAGGAGCTGCAATCCTACATCCATTTACCAGGAACCAGACTCTACTGAATGCAACAAAACTGGGATCTGCAGTACAAATCATGCAGATCCAGGTTTGTGAAATCCAATTCCATTTTTGCACAGGATAATTTTTAGGAATAGGTACCCAAGAGGTATTATTAAAGTGAATTTGGTTCTATGAATGTTTAAATGATGTGATCCCCCCCACCCTGCAAAAAACAGGGATTCCTTTTATGTTAGGTAAAATGGTAGCAAAGTAATACTATCTATCAGGTTTATCTTTCCCAATTGTCTTACAGTTTAAATTATTACAGGAGTTTTCTTCCACTACTAAATTTATATTGAAGCCTGAAGCATAGTTGCTATCTACCACTGACCAATTGCATCCTGTTTCTTTTCAACTTTTAGAAAACCATAATAAGTTCAACCCGACTCAGTCTTCTACCTACCAGGGCACACAACAGAGTATATCAATTTACTATGGCACAGGAAACATGGAAGGCATCTTAGGATACGATACTGTGTTGGTAAGCCATTTGTGGGATGCATGTAGGACAAAAGAAGCAAAAAAGGGGTGCTTCCACACAGCAGCTTGCAAATAATTCCAATCAAATGAGCTGTGCAGCCATTCTGTCTCCCGCCCCCTGCTCCGGATCCTTAATGTATTCTTTGGTGTGCGTTAAGAAGAAAAGATGGAAGAAGCAGTGGACAAATGGAAGGAAAGCTGTGGGAAAACATATCATATGACACTTAAAACTCAGCACTGTGCAGCTAAATCCTTGTTTGGAAGCACCAGTGTTGAAGGCAGCTTTCTATTGTGGGTGTCTTTGAGGTCAACCGTGTGTGTAGCAGGCATGTTAGGCTTTTGAAGGAGAAAATCACCTTGACTCCACACCCAGTTTTCATCAGGTCAAGAGAGATTTAACTCTTGTCTCCGCCACTGCAATCCAAAAACCACCTTCCTCTGCAGCTGGCCTGCACAGTGGGTATGGGAAGCTCCCTTTGGCACCAAGGGAAACCTGTTTTGAATGGTAACTACTGCCTGCCCTCTTCACATGATGCAGTTCCAATGAAGATCAGGAGCCTTTTTATCTAGGATTAAATAAAACGGCAGGAACCCTGTTACAGCTGCTAGTTGCCCCTCAGTGAATGATAGCTGCATTATACAAAGTAGCATATTCTGCATTTTTCTTCTTGCAAGCAACTCAAGGAGGTGTACAAGTTTCTCCTCTTCTCCTATTTATCCTCACAACAGCCCTGTGAGGTAAAACAGTGACTGGCCCAAAGTCACCCAGTGAGCTTCATGGCTAAGTAGGGCATAGAAGCCAGATTTCCTGAGTCCCAGTTTAACATGGTAACCACTCTACCACACAGTATGGGTTGAGTGTGGGTTGGTGTTGAATGGAGGGTTCTTGTCGAAATGTGACTTATGATGTTGTCTGTAGCCAGCTGTGCTATGGAGCCATGGCATGTTAATTACAAATAACCCATGAAGAGAACCCATGGGTCATTCCTGGGTTGTAAACTGCGGGTTGTTCACCATGGTTTGCTAACTAAGCCAGGATAATACAATAACCCAGCTTTTGCAGCAACCTATGGTTCAATAACAGCCCACACTCAGCCCTTGTCTGAACTCAGGCATTGTGCCACCGTTAAAATTGTGTTCTGTGATTTACTAGCTTGTTATAGAAGTAAAGAGATATTTTGTGTCTGTCCTAGGTGTCTGGTCTTGCTGATACCAATCAACCATTTGCCTTGAGCACTCGTGAGCCTGGGCTCATCTTCGTATATGCTAAGTTTGACGGGATCTTGGGCTTAGGCTACCCCACCATTGCTGAAGACGATGCAACCCCCGTCTTTGATAACTTGGTGAATGAAGGCCTAGTGCAGCACAACTTATTTTCTGTCTATCTCAGCAGGTAAATAGCATTTAGCTCGACTGGTAACACTATTTGTTGAGTGTGTTGGAGGAAAATGCCCCTGTGATTACTTTTCATGCTGACTGCTGCTTTGTTCGCTACATCTTGTACAATGAGCAGCTAAAATCCAATTTTCTTGGAAAGATGGCTGCTGAGTCCACATTGGCCAGACCTCTGCCATAAGCAGGAAACACGAAATGTGTAGCAAAAAGGGCCAAAGAGACTCTCCGAGATTGCCTAAGGGGCTGAGCCCTGATCCAAGGTGACAAATTATAAATCCATGGTTTAAACTTTATTTTAATGGGGAAATTTTGATATATGCGTGAGTATGATGCACTCACTTTTTAATGTGCAGTTCAACTTCATATTGAAATGTATAGCTTGTAAACGATGCATCAAATATTCACATTTCAGAAATCCAACTGGGAGCATGATCACTTTTGGTGGAATTGATCACCGTTATTATACTGGTACTATTAATTGGATACCTGTCACTCAGCAAGGTTACTGGCAGATTGCAATGGACAGGTAAGTAAGAATTATTACTTGTATTTTGTCTTAGCTTTCGGAGTGTGTTGGTTTTTGTTCGGTACCATACAATGAAGCTGGAAAGTTTTACCAAGGATGCAATCCTACGTCTGCTGGACAGAGTCTACATTCAGAGCCTGCACTGGCCGTGGCTGCCAGGTTGCAGTAGTGACCTTGGAGATGCGCTGTGGGGGGCATGCTTGGTGAAGAGGAGGGCAGGGGAGCAGACAGGTGCGGCACCACCAGCCAATGCGGTACCCTGGCTGAGCTTCAGCCTCGTCTCCTCATTCTGCAAAAATGGCCATGTACATGCTTTGCAGGGCAGGGAAAGCATGGAGACAACCTTTGCCTCGCCATAGGTTGCCCATGAACCTCTGAGTTCAGAAGGTTACTGGTAGCCACACTGGCTTGCACTGCAAGCACCTTTAAGGGTTGCTAGCTGAGAAGATGAGCAGTAAGACGAAAGGAAGAGATGGAGAGTAATAAAGCACAAATCCAAAATGACAGTTTCCTGCATGGTTTTCAGCTGGTGATGGCTGGGTAAAACGCCTATCTCTTTAGTGCTATCTTTAGTCTATGGCAGGGAAGGGTCCTAGCTCAGTCTTGGGACACCGGTGTTGCAAACAGAGGTCCTAAGTTCAATCCTTGACATCTTCTGGCAGGGCTAGAAGAACTCTCATCTGAAATGGTCAGTGACGGTGATACTGTGCTTGGTGGATGAATGGTCTGTCTCTATGTAAGGCAGTTTCCTAAGTTCATGCCCTGAAGAACTTGCGATCTGTAACTTCTACAGGATCTACTGCTGAGAACATAACCAGCCACAAGGCCCAGGATGGGGCTGGATGGCCTCTTATGGGGCAGGGTTGTGATAGCTCACTAAGCTGCATTTTTTGCTTCAAGAACAAACACGAATCTCATGACTTCCAATTTCTCAGCGTTTTAGTGGACGGTCAGGAGATAGCCTGCTCTGGGGGCTGTCAAGCAATTGTTGACACTGGTACCTCCCTCTTGGCTGTCCCCGGCTCTGCCATATACAGAATCCAAAACGCCATTGGAGCTACAGCAGGGCAGTATGGTCAGGTAAGAAGAAATCTGTTACTCTTTGCCATGGTCTTCCCAAGTCATCTTGGTGCCTTGTCTACATGCCACTTTAAGTCCTGATAAAGGCTGAGGTTGCAAATGCATGCAATATAAACTGGTTAGGGTTAGGGTTAGTCTCTGTTATTTCTTTGCGTACTGCAGCCCAAATTCAGGCTTCATATTTTTCCATGATCCTGTGCATATATGAGGGGTCTTCAAAGTTTCCACACTTTTATATTTTATAAATGTATTTTCTACATTTTTTGCTGGTGGTATTAAAAAATTGGTATGATGCTGGGGAAAATGCATCACAAAGGAAGGTAACTATGTAGAACAGTGATGCAATTTGTTTTTGAAATTCCTAATAGAGTTTAAAAAGTGCGGAAACTCTTTGAAGAACCCTTGTGTATGTGTGTGCGTGTACGTGTGCACACACACTCTCTCTTGTGGGACAGATTTGTTAAGGCGACAATTCTGCTCTCTTCAGATTGCCTAGTCACAAAAGTGCAGGATTATCTCCTTTATGATAAAAGCAACCCAAACATGCTCTTCCTTATCTCCTCTAGTATACAATCAACTGCAATAACCTTCCCTATATGCCTGATGTGGTGTTTGTGATCAATGGAATCCAGTATCCTCTGAAACCAAAGGCATACACACGCCAGGTACGTAATGGATGTGGAACGGACTTACTACCTGGGTGCAGGCTCACAAGGGCATTGGGCAGATCAGGAGTGCAGCTTTTTTATGAATGGATGGGCTGACACACAGATACTCTTTGGGCAGTAATCACATTTCATACTCAGGCAGGGTCACAGGAGTTGTGTTGATACCTGCCCGCTGTCTAAAAAAAGGTCAACCCACATTCAGATGACGCTGCTCTTATGGGGGAGCAATTAGTCCTCCACTGAAAAGAGAAGCACGATCATTTGGTGCATCTCTGGCCACAGGTGACTGTGTCTGTACAGAGAGGGCAGCACTTTGCCCTGGCACGATGGAAGAACCGGAGTACCTGCCCTGGAAAGTTCATCTTGCACACCTTCTGTCAGGGAGCTCCAACCTGAGGCTAAGCTACACAGGCAAATTTTGGGCCTTGTGGGTGTTTGCCTGGCTTTTCAGAGAAGGCAGAATGAGGAAGCAGAACATGTTTGCCTCTCCTCAGTTCCTTTTTGTAGGGATGGCAAAATCTACAGAGGGTTACAAAAGCTCGCGCTCTGCCTCTTCCTCCTAGCACCCCGGAAGTGCCCGTGGCACACACGGCCCCTTGGCCATCCCGGTTGCAGTGGCTTCTCTCACTCATGGCTTCTCTGCTGGAGGAACTTATTGTGTCCTTGTGATCATTCACTCACATAAGTTTTTGGTTCCTTTCCACAGCATGGTCATCCTTTAGGTTTTTCCAGCCATTTTTCCAGCTTCGTTTTGCTTTACAGCAAGGAAAGTCAGCTATTAACTTTCAAATGCTAAACAAATTGGCGTGAGGCATGTGTCATAATCTGCTATACTGTAGCAATACCCTGTGGTTAGATAAGGCTATTTAGAAAGGCAGAGAAAGACAAGGCTGCTTCCTTCCTCCCTCAGGGGAAATGGAAAATGAAACCTCGCTATAGCAGTAGGTTAAATGCCTCATGTAGAAAATTGTAGAGTGTTTAAAGTCAGAATGCTAGCCTGAAGCAGACTCCCCTCATATGGTGTCCTCCAGTTGTGGAAGATTTTCATCAGTGGCCATGCTAGCTGGGGATGATGGGAATTGCAGCCCAGTGAATCTAGAGGGCACTGCCTTATAAAAAGACTATGCTAATAACCTAGGTGTAAGCAGAACATTTTTTATTTATTTATTAGAACATTTCTATGCCGCCCCTTGCCGAAGCCTCGGGGCGGCTTACAACACAATAACCGTTTTTGTGTGTATTCAATGGGTTAAAATGAAGTAGGAAGCCTGGTTGCTTTGGACTATTCTGCCCCCATCAGCCCTGCTTCCTGGCCATGCTGGCCAGGACACTTCTATGCATTCATTTATCTTTTATCCTGCCCAACAGGCAAGTTTCTGTGGGCAGTTGACATCAGTTCAGAAACTGGGCCATAATGCAGTATAACCGCCATAACATTTTTCATAATACAAATTTCAAAAAACAGTTCAAAATTGTAAAACAGTGTTAGTGAATCAGATTTACTATAGAATAGTCCTGTTAAAAATATTAGGCATTGATACTTGATCGAGCCATGAGATAGCTTCTCCTCTGTTAGGGCTTCTCTTGGTTGAGTGGGTGCGTAAAACCCACCTTCCAGTGACAGACTCAAGTCTTCTCATAGGTTCTATATGTCCCACTTTCCCCCAAAAATAACTTAAAGCAGTTTATAATTGTTAAACATCAAAGAACATACACATATGATAACAGCACTGAGATAACAAGCCCAACATTCCACTGAATCGCAAGAACTGTACAGAGTGAACAGCTCAGAAAGGGAGCAGCATTAGAGAAAACCAACAGTCTCAGGCTTCTTATCGGCCCCATTTTCACCCTATGCCTAAAAACATGCCATGTCAGAACCTGTCTGACCTTACCAGGCCTCTCATAATACCAAGCAGACCACAGACTGTCACATCCCATTCGTATTGATGCTTCTTTAAGGCAGGGATAGTGGATCTTTGGCTCTCCAGGGGTTACTGGACTACAACTCCCATAATCCCTGATCACTGGTCTGAAAATGATGGGAGTTTGCACACAACAACACCTGGAGGACCCCAGCTTCCCCACCCCTACTTTAAAGAAAGCAAGTATTTGCAAGCAACTGGAGAAGAGCACATCGACAAGGAAAAACGTATGTTTCAAAAAGTATGGCAAGGAGGGAATACCAGGAGATAATTCAGTGGGGAGAAGCAATGCAATGGAAAACAGGAGCATTTTTAAAATAATTGAGTCTAAGCATTTTACCTCTTTCTTAACTTTTGTGCCCTCCCCTTCTTCAAGGACTACCTTTCCCCTCTTTGGTGTTTGAATGTTATGGTACCCTATGCATTTTTAGCAGAATGGATTTCTTGGGTGATGCATATGTAGAATCACCCACATCTGATGATGGCTGTCTTTTTCTTTCCCTCTAGCTGGGCTCAGGACATTGTAGTAGTGGCTTCCAAGTCACTGGTGGGAGCCTCTGGATCCTGGGAGATGTGTTCATAAGAGAATACTACAGCATTTTTGACAGGGCAAACAACCGAGTTGGACTGGCAAAGGCAATCTAGAATAACCGTGCCTTTAAGTAGCAGCAAATACAGCAATTGCTCATCTAATCAATGTACTTAAATTGCATGTTAACCTCATAGCAATGTATATGAGCAAAGTATACCATGTTGACTCTTGGTCTGATGTCTTTGAGGACAATCTGCACTTGGTAGCATTATTGTAATGTATCTGATCTGAACATGATTGATTTCACATTTGTGCAACTAAACAACTAAAGCAACTAAATAATAGGTCCCCAAGCTACGTTGTTTGTCTTTATTCATGTGTGAAAGCCTATAGTCCATGCGGGTGTTACTGGGGTGCCAATTCCTAGTGCAGTGTAGAGGCAGGAAGGGAAAATAAGATCCAGCAAAGTCCAAAAGCTCACTCTCAGATATATTGCAGTTTTAAGGTATGAAAAAGTGAGATTTGCTTTGATTTCCTCCTTTTAAAAGTCCACAGCAGCTACTCAACAGGCAACAAAAGAGAGTTAGACTGTACCTTAGGCAATCTGGTGCCTCCAGATGTGTTGGACTAAATCCTCCATTATCCCCACCATTGCGGCACTGGAGGCAGTGGGAGCTGTGGTTGTGAAAGGCTGATAGAAGGCCAAGATGCTTTTACTGTACCATGATATTCTGCCTTGACTAGGAAGTGGAAGGGAATAGGACTGTGTTCCTAAGACTCATTCTGTTTCCCTGTAGTGAAAGGTATTTTCTCCCCATGTCCCCATTCTGCGAAACTGAACATTTTCATTATTCAAGGGCCAGTTTGCACACCTTTGTAGTAGGCTAGGATGTGAGTTGGGCCTCCACCCTTGCTGCCTGTGGCTTGTGCTGAAAAAACTTTGCAATTGCTTTGGCATATGCTTGCACAAATGGTGTGCTTGTCATTGGACCCCTCATCTTTCTGCCCCTTAACACGTGAGCCCCAAATTTATATATCACAGAAATACAGTGGTGATGGTGTTGCTGGTGGTAGCAGCTAAGTATTATGATTATTTTGTACATTTCAACTGATTCCTATCCATTGGCTTGGCTAGCCTTAAAACAACCCTGTAAGGTCAGGCAGTGTGATTTGAAAAGTCTGTAGTCAGCTGGTACTCATGGTGATCCATTTGTACAAATTAAGGATGAAAGGCTGGAATTGCCACGCAATGCCTTTTCCTTCGTACCCAGCCTGGAAGCATCCTAAGCTGCTGTTTTATTGATAACTCAGCAGTCTCGAGGTTCATCACAGTCTCGTGCCTTGTCCATTCCATGTCAACAGGCAGCCAGTCAACTTGCTGGTTAAATTTGGTGAGTAATTGCAGCTGCTGCCGCTTGATAGGCAAAATCCTGTCTTCTGTGCCAGCACAGATGGGTACAGAAAGAGAGTAGGAATTTGCTGGCCTCAGAAGACTCAGCTGAGATGTGCATCTACAGGTGGACAATGGGTCAATGCTAGCTAAAGCTAGATACTGCTTGCCAAAACGCTGTTGTACAGACAGGACTAAAGGCTGCCCTAAAGGCAAAAGGAAGCGAGAACAAAGCCATGTGTCAACTCCTCTGGATCTGTTAAGCCCGTGTCCACTGTGTTCTTCACAGCACATTGTCTGTGCTGTTAAAATGAATGTGCAGGGGCATTGAAGAGCTATTCTGTGTTGGTTTTCGATTCCAGAGAGAAGGCACCAAAATCAAGAGATGCTATTGAACAGAAGGCACTTGAAAAGCATGTCTGTTTTTTAAGTTATGGTACTTTGAAGTACAGAGTACCATAATGTGATGTCCCAGAACTGATAAAAGCTCCACATCCAAAAGAGTAGGAAAGTAACCAGCCGGCGGTGGAGAGGATGGCCAGAATAGGAAAGTTGAAGATGTCCAAAGTATAATTCTGTTAAGTCTGGATAAAGGCGAAAGAGATGAATGGTGGACGCTAATCAGGAGGCAAGCCAGATGTTGATTCTTCCCTCCATGTCACTGTCCCCTGTGTCATTAAACCAGGAGCTTGCTCATTTTTCTGGAAAAGAAAAAAAAAAGATGTGCTCCTTAATGCTGGAGCATAACAGCACAATCCAATCAAGATGCCTGTAGCTTCCAAACCTGATCCTGTGCAGAGCTGGAGGAGTGGCAGAAGCAGAGTTCACCTCCCCAGTCCTCCCAGTCTGCAGCTTTGGTAGGCAGTTGTTTAGCCATTTCACTGGCAGTTTTGGAACAGGAGGGAAGGAGACTACAGAGGATGCAGGACAGGCCACATCATGGCCTCTGCATTCTCCTTTCTTCTCCCTTTTACCCCCTCTGCAAGGTCAAATCCTTAACCTAGGAGAGACCTGGCGTCGTTTCTGCACTGGCTGTAATGGGTTCAAAGGACAAATTGCCAGCTCTGTGGGCAGCCTCAGGTCTTGACTCTGACAAGCCAAGCTATGCCATGATGCACTAGATGCAGTCCAGGGCCATAGGATCACTCTCTCAGCCACACATGGGATTGCGTTTCAGTAGGGAAGTCAGTCTGGCTTTCATATCAAATGTTATCAGGAAGCCTCACCATTCGAAAGCTAGTTAAAAGCTGAAACAAGCTAGTTTATGGAAAAACTCTGGTTGGGAGGAGACGCAGCTCAATAACATCCATAAAGACCTACAAATCTAATTTAAAAAGAAACATTTTGGAACCACACCGGCTTCCCTTTGCAAATAAAGCAGAACTTCTCTTGGAACAATGCCTCTCTAAAAGGCATTTAAAGGAGATATAGAATGGGAGCCTAAAACACATTCATTGTGGAAACAGTCTGCTCGGGTGGTGAACTCTGGCCCGACTGAGGGTACAGTAATGCAAGGAACTATCACACAAGGGGCAATTGTGCATGTAACGCAAGTCGCACTAGTATGCAACACAGCGCCATTTTCCACCTGTGTGAATCTACATGTGTTTCCCATACACTGTATGTGCAGTGTGTGTGTGCATGCAGTGAAAACCTTTGGTTAGGTTTTGGGTTAGAGTTTGGAAAGAGCCAAGAGCCATGTGCAGCTCTCGGGGCCCGCAAGTCAGCTGGAGAGGGCGACTAAGCTAAATGCTCACAAAGAAGACAGTGCCAATTGCTCCTGGGCAGCCTTCCTGGACACACAGGAATGCTCTGTGGCTGACAAGTGGATGGAAAACTTCAGCTTAGGGTTAGAATCAGGAAACCTTGGCTCCCCCTGCAAGTCCATGGGCCTTGAAGTTTCCAAGGTGGGGCAGGCAAAGCGAACTGTCCAAACAAAGGATCACAACTGATGCAGTACCAGTAGTGTTCTGTCATAGACTGGTTTCATGGGGAAGGGGATGCACCGGCTAGCTGGAGTTATTTGTGCTAGTGCACACAATTAAGTTAGTGGTGGTGCTTCATTAGATTCTGGTATTGCAGTTCCTTGTGCTCCTTCAGCTGTACTAGAAAGGTGACCTAGAAAGCTGGAATTCAGTCCTGGGGTTGAGGGGAAGGTAGTGCCTCCGCACTGCTCCTTCTAGCCATGACCTCAGGATGGCCCAGCCCCAGCTATCACCTCATCTTTACCATCTGTGAAGAGACAGCGATAGCATTATGAGGGTTGAAAGTGCCACAGGGACAAATCCGCCGCCTGAAATGTGGCCTAGGCAGGTTTCTCCCAAGCAATTCTGGACTGCAAGAATATTAGTGTCTGAGAAAGGCCGGGTACCCATCTCATGGCAGGTTTGATAAACTCTTGGGACATGCGACTGTCTTACCACGGGGTTGCTGATGGAGGTGGTAGTCATAGTAACCTCAGAAACAGGAGTCTCTTTATCTTTGCTACAAGAAATCCAGTGCCAGTATGTCTCTCTCACCTGAAGAAGCAAAATGTACAGGCATGAGTAAGAACTTGCTCATCTGCGCCAATGTAAAGACAGTTGCCTCTTTCATCTCCTCACATGTTTCTGTAGGACATGGTAGTACCCTTTCTCTTGTCTCCTTTTTATTTCTCTGTGCCACCCCCCTCTGCACTTTGTCCTGTTCACTCTTCCTTTGACTAACACCCTATTCATTTCTTTTCTCCCTGTTCTTCTAATTACATGCAGAATGTCTGTCAGATTTTGATCGATGGCTTTCCCTCTTCCTTTCTTCCCAATTTCCTATCCTTATTCTTGAATGTTTCAGGATTCACAAGGATGAGCATGAAACTCCCACCTCTCGCTGCTTTCATTGATACCCCTCCTCATTGTGCCCCAGATTTCTGAGTCAGCCTTGTGCCGCTGTGGAGGTGCAGTCTGTGGACCAAGAAGTAAGGAGGGGAAGAGTGATCCACTGATTGTTGGGTGCACCATGGGTTGTTTGCACAACCACCAAGCTACTTGGCTTATTGCCAAGAAGGGTTTGTTTGATAATTGTGCACACACTGCCAGAGTGCTTCTCTGAGGTGATGATATGACTGGTGTGTCAGAGGGGAGGCACGGATCCTCTCTTGGTCAGGGTTCCACAGAATCCTGAAAGATCAACTATGTGCTGCATCAGGATTTATCTCATCACTCATCACACCACATTATATTTGATGCAGCTTGCTCTGCATGCCGCTTTCACTCGTTCAAGACATCACCTTTTTGTTGAGCAAGCAGTGCACCAGGAAGATGAAGAATCCTTGCACGCTGTTGAAGATGGTGAACAGGTATGCCATGACAACAGCCGCTGTGCCAAACTGAAAGAGGCCCAGGAACCAGGTCATGCCCAGGATGAAGACATGGGCGATGGCCTTAAATGTCAGCAACCTACAACAGAGAAAGGCAACAAGTGTTGGAATCAACAGGAAAGGGCAGTGGTAGGAAGACAGCATCTGAGATTGGCCTCTCCTTCTCTGTGACTGTCTTCAGACTTATACCATCTAGGTAGCACTGCAGTGGAAAAGGAAAAGGCATTTTCCTTTGTCTTCAGAAATAATAGTGCATTTTCACAATTCTAAACCCCCCCACAAAAAGTGTCTTTTAAAAACCGAAGGTAAACTGAAGACTCACAACATCAGCCTAAGAACTCATAAACTATTAAGTAGGGAATAATGAACAAATAATATATTCTTTGTGTAGAAAAGCTCTGTATGTCCTGGCTCAGTTTTTATGGAAGGGGGCCAGAAGCTACACTAGACTGGAGACAAGACATACTGTCTAATTGAAATGGTTATCACTGATTCTTGACATTGACCAAAAAAGAGGAGGAGGAGGAGGAGCCACCGGCTCTGGGGAAAAATGTAGCAGAAGCACATTAAATATTCAGTTCTGTGCTTTTATTTATTATTTATTTATATATTAGGTGCATATACCACTTTTCTCTTATCACAAACTCAAAGCGGCTTACATCATTCTCCTCCTCCTGCTCTCAAGTTCATTTTGTAAGCCGCCCCGAGGCTTCGGCGAATGGGGCAGCATAAAAATGTTTTAATAAATAAATAAATAAATAAATTTGCATAACAATAGCCCTGTGAGGTAGGTTGGGCTGAGAGTCTGTGACTGATCCAAAGTCACCCAGGTGGCTCCATAGCTGAGCAGGGACTAGAACTGTGATCACCTGGGTCCCAGTCCTGTACTCTTAACCACTATACCACACTTGACTTCCCTGCAGTCACTTGGGAGTTTCCCCACTACTGGGACTGTACTCCTAATGGGCAGTAAGCCACTCTTTGGTGGAAGTCCTTCCTCCAAAAATGACTGCTGTTTAGGATTACTCTGTGAATTAGGGGAAAGTGTATGTGTTCACAACTTCGTATTACTATTATGATCCAAAGCTAAGCTCTGTCACTCAAAGAAATGGATCCATCTGAGCAATCTGCATGCCTATGTTACCTTGAGCAGCAGAGGCAGTGTGCCAGCTGCTCTAGAACATGACAGGGTGCTGCTGCCATCATGCGCAGCTTGTGGGTTTCCTGCGAGCATCTAGTTGGTCACTGTGCAAACAGAAAGCTGGACCAGAGGGGCTTTCATTCTGACCCAGAATGGCTCATCCAAGGTTCTTAGGCTGGTGGCTACACTCAATTTTTACATCACTAGTGTCCAGTGGATGCCAAGATCTATACACATCTTGCTTTGTTGCTGGTCTTACCTGGTATTCTTGATAGCAGTAACATCTGAATTGAGAGATGCAATTTTCTTATGCAGATTCTTCAGAATAAGGGTGTAAAGCACTAAGTTGATCTGGTCAAGAAAATAATAACTTGAGAAATGAGTTTTTAAAAAACACTTAATGGGATGTAGAGCAAGTGTTGTGAGCTAGGATTCCTCCTTCACATACTCAACACCACAGACCTTTCTTGCAAAACATTCTATATTGACCACAGCATTTTCAGAAGCACAAACATCCAGAATGAATCTCTGAGCATGCACAGAGCTGTTTGTTGAACTCAGTCTAATATTCACTTTCAGGGACTCTCCTTATGACCATGCCTGGGCCCTATCCCTCCAGGGGGGCTTCTGAAAATGAGCATGCCTCTTTCCTGCACACTGCCCTCTTCCACTGACAACATGATATGTGCCTGTCTCGTCCGTGTCTGAGACATTCCTCTGTTCCAAGCCCCCTACCAGCAACTGTACATCTTGGTTATTCCCAGGGACTGCCTGCCCGCCCACCTTGGAAGTCTGGCCTTGAGATGGGCATTTCTGCTTCTCCCCTCTCAATGCCTGGAAAAGGCCCACATGCCAACCCGCCCCATGCCTCTTCCTCTGCCTCTGATTCTTCTTCTGGAAACCATCCATCAGCCTTTGAGAACATGTGCCCAAACCAGCCATCTTTCTCACTCCCAGCAGCAATATTCTTGGTTCTTAAAATGGTTCAGTTTGTTTGTGGTTGATGTGGATTAATCATCATGTAGAAAGCTGAAAATTAGCCTTACAAATTTCTCACCCTTATCAGTGTAATAAAAAGGAAATCTTGTCCAAGATGGGTAAAAAGATGGATATTTGCTCCAAAGCAAGTATAAAACAGACTAGATCAAGGGTGAGAAACTTTATTTATTGACCTATCAATCAATTAATTAACCTATTAACCTTTATTATTTAATCTATTAAAGTGAGACTGAGACCTGGGGGTCCTGAGAGACTTGAATTGTCTGCCACTATTTTAGGATTAGGTGGAACTCCAGTTTTGAAGTAAAAGCAAACAAAGTGAGTGTCAGATCCAACAGCTTTGGAAGTTAGCTTCTATCCCTCACTTGTATAGAAATTAGGATCCATACTCTACTGGATTAGTGAATGGATCCCAAATTCCATTTCAGCCAGGACTCCACAAGAATTTTAAAAATTGCCTCTAAATCCAGAAGGGCCTTTTGTTTTATTTTAACACAGGACTGGGGAACCTTTAAGCAGGTGGGATCTATTTCACTTTCAACACAACTCCATGGTGCTCCAATTAGCACAAAATGTTGATTGAGAAAGCCAGAAACAGATTTACAGAACAGGCTGCCTCTGAACACATCCTTAATACATTAGTCTGTGTTCAATACTGGATCTGGGATTACAGGCAAATCCTTTCCCAAGATTTCTTGATTAATTTAGGAAGAAAATACTGAAATTTTTGCTTATTTCAATATTGCTATATCTTTAGGCTCCAGAAATTACTGCTGATGTATTAAAATAGACCTTGATTGATCTTCTGCTTGTCCTGGGTTTAATAGATGCATTGCTAGGGGGTTTTCAGCAAACCCAGGGCATTCTGCCCAACCCAAAGTGCCTGCTATCTCCTCTCCTTCCACTCCACCCCTGTAAGATTCTAACTTTGAGTAGGAGACATTGACGCTTATGACATTTAGAGAGGATATTGCAACGTTTTCCTGTTATGCCTTTTAAACAACTGTTGCTTCTGAAGGCATTCTTCTAGCCTGCCAATTGTGAAAGGTAATCACCTTTAAGAAGATGAGCAGGGCCCAACAACTGACTAGTTGATTTTACTGGGGTTTATATTAGTGTCTTGCTTTTCTTTCATTTCCTGTTCCGGACTAGATTGCTTAAAAGCCGCCCCAAGTCTTCGGCAAATGGGGCAGCATAAAAATGTTTTAATAAATAAATAAACAAACAAATAAATAAATAAAATCCATTCATTTTGTTGTTCTTACAGAATGAGAACTGATCATTACTCACCACAATTATGGCACAGACAGGTCCTAGAAAGCTCCAGTTAAAACCCTTTTCTGGACTAAGCCAGCAACTAAGGTGAAAGAAAGAAAGAAATACAGTCCACAGAAATTTAGGAAAGTTCACATATCCCACAGTATCACTTACACTGAATACGTCCAGCATATGTGCTGATGTAAGCCAGCATTATGTTTTCATTCAGATTATAGGAAGAACTCACATGAAAAACTGGGAAAGGAATCCCTAGCCTAAATATAGATTAACATGAAACGTGACATCTGAAGTCTTGATGAAGACCAATCTGTAGGTTTTGGAACAGGTTAATATTTCATATCCGTAGCAGAACTTATCAGAACTAGAAAGTAGCCCATGGCCAACTAACAGGATGTTTTGAAGTAGACTTTGAAAGCACTAGAGTAGTCAAAGATTGTGGGAGACTGAATTTTGAATACAGGTTAATGGATGGAAGAAAGTAGACTTAATATTGATGGCAAGCACAATCTGCATACAAATTAATCGATTTTTATGTATAGTCTGTTCCTATCTTTCTCTAGCATTGACCTGTAAATTAGCCTTTGACACCTTAGTATTAATTTAGCCGCAAGGGCCCATTATCTTTACATTATTTTAGAGCCCAGAACTTAATTAAACATGTTGGATGAACAGTGATATGACAAGTCTGATCATTATAGCTCTTTAGACCTCAGAAAAGAAATGCAACAGAGGGAATATGCTTGATTATTAAGATTTCGACTTGATGGCCCTGCTCACTTCCATTGTGCAGCATTACTTCCACAGTGCCTTCCTGTAACTTGCTCACCCACCCATGAGGGTCCGAGTCCCATGGATGAATATCAACTGATCATTTGGGAATTAATGTGGAAAAAGAACCTTTATGGTTTTGATTGTAGCATCTTTGCACATGGACAGCTGCAATCTGATCTGAATAGGGGTTTATGTGGCTTATGTTCCACATGCTCTTCATATATTTTAAACCATCAATTGGCAAACTTTGGGGGATGTAGGCACATTTGGAAAGTTGAGAAACTGTCCAGGATATCACCACAAATTGGCTGCCATGGGAGGTGTGACAAAGAACAACCTGCTCCAAAGACTGAGTGCAAGGCAGAAGTGGACTTTGAGCTTTAATATGGGGCCAACAGTAGGTTTCTGTAGGCTCTGAAATCACAGTTTCAGTACCATCAAAACCCTATCTGGTAGCAATCTCAGGTGATGGTAAGAATATCTCTTTTGCTTTTAAAGTGGGTGGGTAGAGCACCTTGCTAGGCACCAAGTAAAGTCTCTGGGGTGCTTTGATTTTTGCAGATACTAGATAACCTATTGTTGATAGATATTCTAGTTTAATGGCATTTTAAGAGAGATCTGTTCAGTGTTTGGTGTTAAATTTCTCTTTCTCATTGCAAAAATGTCCAATATAATTAGCACTTACTGAAAAGAAGTCCCATAAGCACTAGGATTAATTGCTGCAGAAATGGCCACTATCATGGCAGGAATCCCATAGCCAAAAACATACATGGATATCTTGATACTCTTGCTGGTACCGCTGTAATTTGCAACTTTCAGATTCCTGATAATGAGGTAGAGATTCACACCCTCCAAGAACATCCACACAAAACAGGCCAGAAAGAGGTAGTGCAGTGCTCCGGCTATCACCGAGCAAAGGACCTGGATCAGAAATAAAAAAAGCCATGCGCTGGTCAATGTTTGTCACTTGCATTTCTTTTCACTTTGAATAAGCAAAGTTAACTTTGAATAAGAATCAGAAAGGGGCTGTGAGTGGCTACTAGAATGCAACCAAAGAGCACTAGAATAGAAAAATTCGACACACCATCTAGGCTCATCAACAAGGAGAAACCAGGGCAGGGTAACCCCACTTACATTTCAGATTAAGAAACCATGTAAATTGTAATCACAATGAAATCAGATTAGGCTTTCCTGCTCCTGCCCTTTCAGTACTATCAGAAAAAGGTATAATGGCTGGGATCCCTCTAAGTTATATCAAGTTCCTTGCCATTTCTATTCTCCATTCAATATGGACATAACAATATAATGTGCTCATTGTACTTAATACACATTAATAGTAGATTGATACAGAGTGGGGGGAATGTATCATTATCACATATGCCTAAGAATTTTCTGTCATCATGAGTCAACAACTCAGTGCTTAGTTGGAAAAAGGAGATTCCCGACAACAAAAATAAAAAAAATATACAGCATAAGGAACTCTGTACTAGTAAACTATCACTGGATCAGGCAAGCAGCACTGCTTTAACTTACTTCTTTAAGAACAAAGCCTTTAAACTGGCCATGACCTAGTTGGAAGGTCAAGTTAGACTCAGTTCCAGGTATGCTCAATTAACCAAAATCAGGTATGTCCATATAAGATATGAAACAACAAAAGTACTGCGGGTAGCCAGACAAAGAGACTTCAGTGTGGGTGTAAGGTAGAATGATCCTACTTATTATTTATTTAAAACTTTTTAGACAAAGTCTTGGGACTGTTTAACAGTAAGACAAAAAATAAAACAAAACACAGCATCCTAATCAATTTCTGACATTAAAATAACAGTCAAAACTTAAAATATTGGGAAAATTAAAAAGTTTTTGCCTGGTCGCCAAAAATAATAAAGTGATACGCCACACTTTATTCCACTTTATTGTGGGGAGTGTATTCCACAGTCAGGGCGTCACCACAGAGAAGGCCATTCTCCAGGTTACCACCCTCCTAATCTCCTTCAAGGAGGGCTCCCTCCACTCCAGATCTTACGGGGTGGGCAGGCATAAATGGAAGGAGACTTAAACTACATGTAAATCCTTATCACATGGAATAAATTGAGTAGGGTTACAAAAGAGAAGAAAGAGATTAGGGCAAAAATTGGTCTCGCTGATGACACTGAGTTCAAGCCAAAAATAAGAAAGAACTAAGCCTAACTCTTATAGGAAGCTTAATTAGACTTAGGGAGCATAATTGGTCCTGAACTCTCTGGTGAGCAGAGTATCACATACCAGCTTCCAGGACACATTTTATTTATTTTATTTATTAAAACATTTCTATGTCGCCCCATTTGCCGAAGCCTCGGGGCGGCTCACAACATAAAATAAAATACAAAAATAACAAAATAAAAATAACAATATAAAATAAATAACAATATAAAAGAAGTCACCCTGGCCAGATATAAAAGAAGTCGCCCTGACATAAAAATACCTTGTTGTGTGTTTTGTCTGATCCAACTATGAAGAAGAGGTCAGCAAAGAAGAGGCACAAGCTGAGCTGTAGGTGGATGAATGTGCTTTTGTTCTGGCTGGAGGGGCAGAGGAGAAATGTGACAATAGTCAGGAAGAGGCAGAAGAGTGAGATGCTCAATCCAATGTAGCCAAGGATGATGAGGATCAGATCTCCCTAGAAAACAAGACAGTTGTTCTCAGGTACAAGATGGTCTTTTGAGAAGCAAGTTATTTTTACGTTTGCTCTAGCTGAGGAACACATTCTCAGCTGCTCTAAAGTTTCCTCAGTCCACTAGCTTGAATGGTGCTGGTCAAAGATAGAACGCTAACACCTTGCCAAAATGTTAAAATATAACTTTTATATTTATGTATGTAATAAAACAGTGCCAGTATCACTATCAAGTCTTTTCATTGATATCATCACACATGGCTTCTGAATGATAGTTTACCCCTTTTTTGCTAGTATTATTAATATATTCATCTCTGTAGAGCCTTATTGACACCAGATGTCCTCTCAAGTGAAAATCATACTGAATGTGCAGATTCTACTCCAAGAGTCATATCTGAGAATGTTTTTCAGCCAAAATGGATCTGGTATGAATAACATCATATTTCATGATCTCACCCACCCACCCATCCACCCACCCAGCCACACACTGACTACATTGAATAGAATTGAACAGAATTTCCTTTATTTATTTATTTATTTATTTATTTATTTATTAAAACATTTTTATGCCGCCCCATTCGCCGAAGCCTCGGGGCGGCTTACAACAGTAGTTAAATAATTATAATTAAAAATTTAAACATTAAAATAAAATACATACAATATAAAATGAGCCGCCCTGGCCAGATAAAATTCAATAATATTAACATTTAAAATGCTGCTTAAATAAAAAGGTCTTCGCCTGGCACCGAAAAACAAATAACGATGGCGCCAGGCAGACCTCTCTGGGGAGCGCGTTCCATAACTTAGGCGCCACCGCTGAGAAAGCCCTCCTCCGAGTACCCACCCTCCTAATTTCTTTCACGGAGGGTTCCCGGAGAAGGTCCTCTTCCGCCGATCTCAGGGGGCAGCTGGGCATATATGGATGTAAGCGCTCCTTTGACCCACTGATACTTAATGAATCTTGAGAGACTGAATTTTTTTCAGTACTGTATATACTACATTCCATAGAAAGAGTCTTACCCATTAATGATTGCAAAAGATATTTGCAGCATTTCACTGAGTGCTCTGTGACTATATTTCTCCACTAGTAACTTCATTGTGAAATCAGTATTGGTTTGAGAACTGCAGGGCAAACCCATGGATATTCAATTTGAATTTAGTGAAATAATAATAATAATAATAATAATAATAATAATAATAGGTTCAGGATCCCTTGCTGCATGCAAGAACAAACTGAAACACTTTCAGAACTAATTCTCACGTACCTTTACAGGTGTGACGGCCATCAGCATAGCAAAGCTGGGCAGGAACTGACAGCTACATGTTGAATGAGTACCATTAGAATGGAGACACTGGCAGCCTTCCTGGGACCAGGCACCACCCCCGCCTGCAGAGTTCCAGTGGACACAAATCATCTTTTCCTGGGCAATGTGATTCTGCCAAGAAGCAAAAGGGCTAAATGGAGGTGCTTAGAGTATCCACGTATGCTTTCCTCTAGTACATACACAAGGACGGTTCTCCATAACCTAGAGCCCTCTGGATGTTTAGAACCACAACTCCCAACATTCCTTGACATGTTGTCTGGAGCTGATGGGAGTTGAAATCCAAAACACTTGGAAGGCAGATGATAGGGAAAGACTGCCCTTAAGGCTACTGAATAAAATGAACAGGCAACCCATGAGATATATGGAAAAGGAAGTGTGTATATAGGCATATATAGAGATATGCACACGTGATAGCCTATTCAGCTATCACTCTGGCAGGTGGGGAGGATGGCTTGGACATAGGCAGGCAGTTCAGCTGAAAACTAGACCGAACTTTAAGTTTTCTTTCCTATCCTGGTTTTCTATCATGTCTTAAGGTAGACAGAAAAAATACGACATTTCACGGATCTCCTCCATAGACTTTATTTACACACCTCAGTGTGACGGAGAGTGAGGTTGACTGGGCTGGAAATATTCTTCCTGGAGCTGCTGGTGGCAGTGCTTACCACCCTGGAGTTTACACGACCACCTTTCAGTGTTTCATTGCCAAGCAGAGTAGCATTCTTCTGGAAACTCAGGAGTGATTCCAGCCCATTGTATGATATAAAAGCCACAGCAAGAGGGCCTTCAAGAAGCAGAAGGAAGATCAGCAACAGAACCTCTGTATTGTGATAACATTGCCCATACAGCGTAGGTCATCCTCTGCCAACATGTCACCCTCCAATTGCATTGGACTGTCATCCATGGCAACTCCCGCCATTCCCTAGCCAAGATGGGGACCAAATTGAGGCAGACTGTTATAGGTCCATACATTTACTTGTCCTTGCTAAAATAGGTGCCACAAGATGGAAAACATCTCATCCCTTGGGCTCTATCCTACATATGTACTTCTTCTCCTGTCCCCCGTGCATTTTTCTTGCATGTTTCAAACATACACATACACAGCTCAGCACATTGTTTGTGCAGTCATTGCATGTTCTGATCTGTGTGGACTTTGACCTTCGTTTGCATCCAAATCTGTGTCCCATCTGCAATGTGTGAATCTTGAGCAAAACTGGACTGACACAAATTTCGCATAGAAGCAAGTGGAGTAGAAGCATCTTTGGCAACTGCTCTTTGCATGACTTCTCCAGGCTGGCTGAATTAAAGGGGAACCAAAGTGATAAGCACACTTTCTGTCTGGTGCGATTGTTGCAGTCACCACAAAACATGTACATTCAGACAGGTCTGTTTTGGAAACTATTTTCATGGATTGAGGACATCTATTCCTTGAAAAGATTTTTCCCTACCTGCATGGCAGGCAACAATGAAAGCAGAGTTACACTTGAGGAATCCAGTCCTTGTAAATTCAGATATGAACTTACTATAATTGCATCTTCTAGGCAACAACTACTAATATTATTTTACTTCTTTAAAAAAATAGAGTATGGAAAAGCCTACCTTTGCTGGTCCCATCAAAGATGGCTCTGGTATCAATGGCCATTTGGTCTTCTTGGACTTCTAGTCTGAATGTTTCATTTTTTGAAATAAATGTTTCATTGATGATATTTGTTTGGATTGCTAAAACAAGCAAAAGAAGAGACTTAGGTTCTTGGATACATATAGGAATGCTAATAATAAGGGGTTTTTTTTAAACAAGTTGCTGGGTTTCTCCCATAATAAATGTGCAGGCTTTACTCATTTCTTCTGAAGGAGCCAAACAGCTTTCCTCAAGAGACATATTTCTTCAGCATTCGTAACTTGTGAGAAGTCACCAAGAACACACAATTTCTCCCCGGCCAGTGATAATAGGGGGTGTGAAATTTTACTTACTTGGCCACAAGGCAGTATCCAACACTGCCTGGACCCTGGTGGGATCCACCATAAGCACAGAGAATCTAGTGGTCCCTAAACCCCTGGAAACAAGCCCAAACTCTTGTAGGGCAGGTCAGCAGAGTTTGCAGACAGGAGCGCCCTTGACTGATGCCGTTCTGGAAAAGGACATTTTGGTTTGACTCCAGGATAGTCTTAAGAAATGCTTGTTTCCTGTTGCACTGGCAGTTCATCCCATGTGGTCAACAGACAGCAGCTGGCCCACCATGCTGGGTCTCCTCTCCCAGTATTTAAGCAATGCAATAAAATACCAAGAAAGGAATGCGGGAATCTACAGTAGACATTTTTACCAGCAGCATAATGGCTGACTCACCGCCATGCCACAGGTGACTCAGTTCAAACCATCCTCTTTGCACTATTTCTGCTATTATATCCTAGCTTTCTTTCTCTTGGGAATGTCAGCACAAGAAAGAGGGTGTACTTACTCTTGGAAACTGCTTTTGGGTGATAGAGTAGGGGTACTGATGCTACTGGCTTTTTCCCGTAGGAGACAAAGCACCCCATCTTCCCTTCCCCTTCCCCTCCCCATTCCCCTTTCCTCTTTTTGGCGAGGGAGCAGGTAGATCTCCCATTTTAAAGAAAATCTTGCTCACTAACTCTTTCACCCTTGTGCATAGGTAATGGATGAAGGGAATGGGTGAAAAGTCTTTTGCACCTGACCAATCATGAGCAGTGGGAATCTCTCTGTGGTCACTTACAGCTCTGTAAGCTATTGTGTCTACAGCCATGAAAAGAGCAGGCTGAAACTGGTCCAGCTTCAACCATGGCACTGGACAGGCCACAAGTAATTTTCTTTGCAAACTGACTCTCAAAGAGAGTCTGTCACTGGGAAACTATTCATGACCAGAAACAGCTCTGCTGTGCAGTAATGAACAGGCACAAAGTGGGTAGAAAACTGCCCAAGGTTACAGATTTATTCCCGTAGTGTCAGATTTTTCTTAAGGGTTCTACCAGTTGTGCTGTTGCCTTTTGGTTAGCCTTGCCCTCAGTCATAAACCTAATGTATTTGCATCAGAGGAAACATCTAGGAGTCTATTTATGAAACTGAATTCTACCCCAAGATCCAGCATTCTATCATCAAAGAAGTATCAGTGCTAAGGCGTTTGGGTCTCAATAGATTAATCCACTTCCAGAGTTTTACTCTTCTGAACTAATAGAATCCCACACTGGCGAGTTCATTGGCCAGCAGAATCTGAGCATTTTCTATGCAAGGCTTTCTCTGTGAAAAAGGTGTCAAGGCAATTTCTGATTGTCCAGCCCAGCATTGAACAAGGGTAATGTGTGGCCTACCATATGCATAACTTTCACAACAAAATTGAAAGGTGACAGATGTGAGAAAAGAAAGAAGAAACACAACACAACCATGGGATTTTGCCAGCAACAAATACAGGCAAAGAAATAATTTGTCTCTTGGCTTTCCAGAAGGTAAAATGAAAGTCCTCTTTCCTTACCTAAAAGGTTATTAACCACAGTTTCTGGTTGTCTCTCTGGAGATTCAAGAGCTAAGTTTACTGCAGTTGAGCCTAGTTTTTGTAGAATCACGTTCACACTTGATACACGATTCACATTTACTGTGATGTTCTGGAGGGAATTGTTGACCAAATGGTTCTCAAAGGAGACTGTTACGGTCTGCAGCTTTAAAAAAAATACACTGAGTTCAGAACCCTCTAAAATCTTGCTGGACTGTTTACAAGCATTTCACTAAAAGAGGCATTCTCAGAATATGCATAGCAGGAGTGGACAGGCTTAAGACTTGTTGGATCTACTTAGTTTTTCCTTGAGGTCCACCAACTGGTGCCAGTTACAAAAGTGGCTCAGGAAGGTGGATACAGAACTACAGAACAAGCGGTACTTTGAAATACTCAGCCCAGTAATCTGTGTTCAGTACTAGAACTGAGAGTGACACAGAGATAGCTTTGCACACAAATGTAGTCCAGTTTTTCTCCAAATTTTCTTACCAAGTTTAGGAGGAAAAACTTTGTTTTTAAATACTGGGATTTGGAAACCCTTGCAGGTCTACTGAAAATTGCCTGGCTTTTCCCTGGAGATCTATCAGTAGATTCTGGTCTACTTTCTGTATATTCTAGCACAAATAGTAGACTTCAGCATGGTCATCACTTGTGCATGTGTGTATAGATAGAAATAGGAGTTACTTATAGCTTGGTCTTTGGGTCATTTCCCATGTTTTGTGCATAAAATGCTAACTATCACAAGTATAAAACTTAATTTTGCCTATCAAAAGAAGCTAATGCTTGACAAAATTTAAAAGTGAACAACAGGCTCTAACAACATATCAGCTTCAAAGGTTTTTTTAAAAATTACTTCCACTACCATTCTCCATCCCATTCTCCAATGCAGAAACAGCTCTTTTCAGGTTTAACAAATCCCCCTCCCTTATTTTGTATCTCTTATACACATTCCAAGTTGACCAATGCTACCATGCAGTCATTTGAAAGAGGTTAGGTGCTACAGCTGAGCGGCAGGGTACCAGAGACTGAGCTGTCCCTTTTCACCCCCAACTCCAGACTCAAGCCCAGCACCCCTGTGGATGCAAGAAGAGAAGGACTGCTAATGAGCAATCCCGCTCTGCTGGCCGTGGCAAGAGCACTGGGTGAGAACATGGATGACAGAGGCCAAGACAGGTAGCTTTTGGCTTCTCTCTTTCTGCTTCTCTTGGTGCTCCTGAAATGATGTACTGGAGGATAAACAAGCCGGAAGGCACAGGGGCATTTTATCCACACTGTGCAGATAAATTTCCCAGGGACATTAACATATGTCCCTGGAAAGCCATCCCATTGCATGTGCTGATAGTATTTCTTTAAAATAAAAATCAGGGTTTTTAAGGACTTATACATCTCCCCGTTTTTTTTGCTCATATATGTCAAGAATGTAGAAGATGCTGCATGGCATGGAATCAAGGGGTGGTGGTGGTAGCAATGAGGAAGAACCTAGTCAATTGCATGTTACTGAAGTCAATTACAATTGCATGCTACTACATGGCCATCTAAAGGCCTCCAAAACCCACTTGCATAGGACCATTAAGGGTGCAACTGCTTGCATGTGTACACTGAAGAAAGTCCTGCGATTCCTAGCATGCCCCAGCCAGCATGCTGGAAGCTGCAAACGTTTTTTCTGCTTCAGCATGCATTGGATTGCACCCTACACCGAGTCTCACATTACCAGAGAGGGAAAATTAGCTAATCACTGGGTTCCTGGGAAAAGTTTCCAGTGGCAAATGAAGGCAAGATTTCTGCCTGAAACCCTGGACCAATCGAAGTAAAATGTCCCAGCGATCCCTGGGAGATGCAAACAATTTGTACTTACAAATGAACTGCCATAAAGTGAGCTTTGATTATGGGCAGTATAGAATTGTAATAATACTTGTTAAAATACAGCAGGAAATAATTGTCATTATAGAGAGAGGAGAAGTTAAAGGGGAGAGAGGGAGGCCTCCAAAGCAGGCCTTCCTGCCCTGCCCATCTGGGGAGGGAAATCTCTCTGGCATTTCCTTGCTGAAAAGAGGAGATGCTGGAGAGTTGGGGGGGGGGGGTGGCTTAGAGCTATTTGTGGGTTTTCCACTTTCATGGGGACCCTGCACTCCTGACCCCTGCAAATGTGGAGGACCAACTATCCGTGATTTGACTTACATACAAATTTGACTTAAAGACGAATTTCCATTTTCTCAGGAACAGAACTCATTCATAACTCAGGGGCTGCCTGTCCTGAGCTAGAATGAACGAAAATCCCGTTGTAAAGCAACTACCTCTGCAGCTGAAAATGGCCTGGGACACCTCATTGAAACTGAATGAACTGTTTGAAACCCTGATTCCTCATGTCATGTGAACCCACCATTTTGTTCTTGACCCACCCTAACAATCCATGGATTGCACTGGGGTCACTTTGACCCATCATGTGATCCAAACCCATATGACACAACCCATCATGGGTCAACCTGAACTGCTTACAAGCCACTCTTGCCAAGCAGGTACCAGGGAGACTGACATTGTCAGACGCCACAGAACTGCTTTAGTGGCTGCTGGGATGACTGGTGGAGGCATCTCCCACTTCCTGCCGCTGCGGTGCCTTCTGGGTGCACTTTTTGTCAGTTAAAAAAATTCTCCTCAAAGTTTTTTGGGGGGTGTTGCTTGAGACTATGTCTTATTAGACTCATCAGGTCTGTGTCCTTTTTGACACATGCACACACATGCATGTGCAACATTGCCACAGATTTGTTTCCTCTTGACAGCCAGCCAGTGTTCATGAACCCGTCTGACAGTTCTGAGCGGTCCCTCCAAAACGCCCAGTGTACCTTGGAGGGTCTGCCCACAGATGGTCTATCTCGCCACTAGTTCTAAAATTTGTAATGGCTTATAAGTGGCTGTGCACAGCTCGTATAGCAAACATGCCCGCCCCGCCCCGCCCCCCCCGCCCCCCCATATCAGGACAGCCCAGAGGCTTTGTAGGAGAGAGAAGCTGTGGTCAAATGCTCTTCCACAATTTTCAGGAAGTCTTACCTTTAAAGAAACATTGTGCAATCTGACATTTTCACAGACAGATTGTAATTTGTGGGAAAGGGGCGCCAGAATGGAGCAGTAGCCACCCTACAAGAAGAGAAGAAAGGGATCCTGTGTCTGTTTCTGGCAGAGATCAGCTGGGAAAAGGAAACTGCACTGTTGTCAAAATTGGCACTGGATAAGCTGGGTGGAAGTCTGATACTGTTGCATGCAGGAACAGAAATTCATAATACAGTCACTGAAGGATTAAATCACAGTTGGGAAGATCCTGGTGCATATACCCACTCAGCTAAAACATTCACCTGGCAAGCTTAGGCAGTTAATTTCTCTCAAATTCAGTGTGAGGATCAAATGGAGGTGAGGAGAACTGCAAAGGCCAGCTTGGAGAGGAGGTAAGATACTGATGCAATTCACACAAAAACAAATCTAGTACAGCAACATTTCTGCAAGCATTCTAATCTGGCCAGTACTCTTCCAGATCTAAACATTTCTGGGGCAGTAGGATCATTTGTTTTTGTTTCTAGGAATGTGGTTTAGGGCAGGGATCTCAACAGAGCCCTTAAACCTCATTTCACTTGTTGCTCTCTTCAACCCACCTTGCTATTTATGTACCCCATCTCTGTTGACTAACTAGCCCACATTAGGCAAATCCTCTACAGAAGCTCTTGTAGTGACACCCACAGCAATTTCTTAAATTCCCATAGCCTGGAAGATAACAGGGCAGCCAACGCCAGAGGATGGACTATAAATCTTCATATAAATTAAAACGTAGATCCAGTGGAATACAAGCAGAAAGTGGGAGCTACAAATGTATGGAGGACTCCAGATAGCAAAAGGAGACATGGCAAACCTTCTAGCCCTTTGCTCATTTAGAATTAAGAAAGGAGCTGTCATTCTCTAAGTTTTATTTCCCACACATCAAAGTCCTCTGCTTCTGTTTCCCTTCTCAAAACTACCCAGTTCCTATTCCCAGTCCTCAACTTTCTTTCCAACAAGCCTTCATACAGACAGGATTTCTCCCAACCCTGTTACTATAGGCAAACTCTCCAGAAGCCTGTTTCCAGTTCCAGGGCATGTCCTGGAAGATTCAAAAGGGGGAAAAGATCTTGTACACAGTACTTTCCTCTAAGCCCTGACTACCTGCGGTGCCCCACTTCTTAACGCCCTTCATGTTCACAAGCAAGTGGCCTCCCAGAACATGCATGCTGCAGAGATTTCATTTTTAATCGAAGGGCCGAGTCACCATCTGTGTTCTCACTTTCCTCTCAACTTTCCTTCTTTTAATATCTTAGTTCACAAAATTTATTCTGCCCAATCCACTCTTTTTTTGAAAATAACTTTACAGCAGAGGGGTAGAAGGTCTTTTTAGTCCTTAACGCTCAACTTTGACTGATGTAGTTTATTTAAAAGAAAGGGACTGGCTGGAGCATTAACCAAGCACTTTGGTTGTCCACATTCCTCCATCTCTCAATTTTTCCCAGTTTCAGTGGGCTTGGAGAAGAAAAGAGAACTTCCTTATAGCAAAAGCACCTACCTTTCATTCAGTACTTAGACTTTGGGGGACGGAGGTTTAGAGGAAAAAAGCTTATCATTTGCATTCTGAAAATGCAACATTAAATTTAAAAGAAGAAACTTTCTTTCAATGCTACATAATATTAAGGAAGGAGCAGATGGAGGGCAGAGGATCGTTCAGATTTCCGGCTCTGAAGTTGGAAGCAACACTCTGACCATGGTGCTCCAATAACCCTGCAAAATTTTCTTTGCCTGACCCTTGAATATATATACTCAGTGGGAAATGAGTCAATTCAGTTCTTTTGCCTAGATTGGAGTTGATCCTGCTCATGCAGCAGGTCATTGGTATATTCTACCTTGGATTCAATGAGATAACAGACTGTTCTGAAAGCAGGTCCATCCTTTTCCACAGGTACAAGTGGATTCTCGAAGAGTTTGGGCTAAGAGCAATGATCTCATCAGAACTAGTGGAGCAGTCCCACCTCTGAAATATTTTGGAAAGGGCATCTGGAAGCCTTTCCTGTCTCACTTCTGTTTGCCACAACAGGCATGTAGAGTGCAAAGTGAAAAGTCGAAAAGCTGCTGCTGTGGGCAGGGCTCTGAAAAGCACGCCTATCTTAGCTAAATCCAGACTATTGAAGAAGAATGACTATCCATATCTGGTCATGCTACTGTCCAAATGAAATGCCCGTAATATTGCTAAGTATCATTCACTGCAATAGGAGGTACCATATCAGCCATTTCCTGTGCCTTACTCTGGGATAACAATACATGTACGCACGCACACATGTTGCACAACACACTTACTGATTTTGTTGCATTGAGGCACTCAGTTTCTTGACAGCGTTGAGGGATTTCTAGGAAGAAAAGACATAATGCAAATATGTAAGTGCAAGGAAAATTTTCCATGTAAAACTAAGAGAAGTCTGTCCGTAACAGGATAGATAGAACTGCATAGAAAGGTTGGTTGCATTAATATAGTTTTAGCCAAAGTTCAAGGATGTGGGATGTAGCTCTGCCAATGCTGTATCAGCATGTTGTCCTGGGGCCTAGATGTGTTTAGACTTCTCACTACCCAGTGGATCCAGTCTTAGTCACATCACAGAAACCCACTGAAATCAACAGGACTTCAGTCTGCATCCAACCCATCACCTTTAGCATGTTTCATTCGGTGCTTCACAAAACATGTCTAGGTTCCTGCCTTGCAAGTGTGTTTAGCATTTCAGCCTCAATTATGGATGTGCAGAACCAGTTTAGTACAGAGGTCAGAATAAAGCTTTGGTCTCTCTGGGATGGATGGAATACCAGTCCAGATTCTAACATCAAGATGAACTCTTCCACAGAAAAACAGAGGCAATTACTGTGTTGTTTCTTACTTGTATCCACCATGCTTAGTGTTCTCTAGATTTTCCCTGTATACTCTTTAATACCTTTGAAGAAGAAAATGTTAGGTGCAGAAGCACGAGCAGCCCTGCTGCATCCAAGTGTTTCAGCAGTCATCTCATACTCTGCGTTCAGAGAGCTTCAGCTGCTGTTCTAGGCTGCTTCACCACCTTCCCATCAACAGAATTAGACTTTCACTCATAGATTGTAGAGGTGGTGAACCTGTGCCCCTTCAGATATTATTAGAATCCAACTGCTATCAACCCTACCCTGCATGGCCAATGTTTGGGGATGGTGGGAAATGTCCAACAAAACTGGAAGTCCATTCAGTGTAATGATATGTTTCCCATCTATGTGGTACATCTGAAAACCAGGTTGAGTTTTGACAAAATATACACAGCAATACAGCATTAGCAATGGTTGAACTTTCCACCCTGCAATTTAGCTCAAGAAGATGCAGTTTCAAAGGAGTGGAGAACAAATACACTCACTCTCGCAATGATGCCCATCAGGCTGGATTGTCACCCTGTACCCTTCGTGGCAGGTACAGAGGTATGTTCCATAATAAACTTGAGTACATGCTTTATGTGGTTTATTTATGCCGCTGCCACCAGAACCTTCATTGCTCAGACCTGTGAAAGGAGCAAAAAAAATTCAGCTCAAGCACAAATCTTACAACTTGCAACTGTGCTCTCCACCCAGGCCCAGTCAGCAGGGAGGAAACAGATGGTCTCTGGAAGACATAAAAAACATGGGTCCTCGCTATCATTTAGGGCCTATAAGAGTCTTCAGACTTTCAGATCTAAAGGTAGAGACAGAGGTTTGAGCTTGGAGTTGGGCAGTTGCACTTTGACACCCTCTCCACTCCCCACCCAGTGTGGTGTTAGGACAACTCTTAAAGGGCACAGCTCAGTTCACATTACTGCTCACAACCTCACATTTCCTGTTTGGGTTGGAGGATGCAGAAGCAGTGCCAGGACATGACTCAGCCCGGACCTTGTGGAGCATCAGCCTGGGTCACCAGCTGCTTGGTCCTTCCTCTGCCTTCACTTATTGATGCATGGGTGTGTATGCATGAGGGCGGATACGTGTCTGTCTCATGTGTGCATCTAGAGGGGCATGTGCATGCCAGTGGTGGGCATGATCCTGCCAATAACTGGAGCCAATTCCGCCTTTGAGCAAAATCGATTCTCTACCCCCAATTTCTAAGTAGCTTATAGGTACAACTGCAGCGCTGGCGCAGCATCAGAAAGTGGCAATCAATCGTTCTGAACCACTCTGTGTAAGTACCACAGTACCACTCTGTAGTTTCTGGCCTGGAGCATGGGGTTATAGACGCTAAGGAAACAGACATGACCTAAAACATGCATGTGAACAAATATACTAAGCCTTTTCCAAGTCAAGCCAGGTTTGCTCTCAAGCACCTGGTCATACAGGTAAGAAGCAATTCCTGCTAAGTATCAGTTTTAAGGTCCCATGGAGCAAGCCTAATTTATACAATAATTCTTCCTTGTGCATATTCCTAGGTGATATCAGAGATCTCCAGATACAGATGCCGGATGTGTTTGCTCATCCCACTAACCCACTAGGCTTGTGATGAAGCACTGCAGAATCCACCCCTCTAGTGTTTGTGGACTTCCTCTTGTGCTTAGCCCTTGGAAAGCAAACCAAACCGAGGTGAAGTCTGCAAATACTTGCAAACCAAAGGCCATGCAACTGACAACTGTCTTCCACATCATGTGCAGCAGCACAAGGATTGCTGCAAATGGCATGAAAGAAGGAGCCAACAAACAAGGATCAATTCCTGCCAGCCACACTGTGAATGCTGGGCATGCTCATCAGCAACTTGGACTTGGGGCCATGACAAAGTGGTCTGGAGTCAGGGTACCAAGCCCAGGAAATCCACTGAATCCCCTTGCTCAGGACAGATACCTGGTCCTCCCTAGGACCCACGATGACTATAAGCCAGGGTGTAAGGGGGTGACTTTCATTTCTATACCACCCAAAACCAAACCTTTCTGGGCTGGTCCCAATAATCATAAACACAGGTACAGCAGTAAAAAGGGATGACAATAAAAATACAAATACAATAAAACACACTATAGTGAAATGGATTGAGGAGCTTACAAAATATTCTTACATATTATTAGATGCAAATGTCAATTTCAAATGGATACTTGGCTATTTAGCCATTTGGCCCATATATAATTGCTAGAAAGTTATGGGCATTTCACTGAAATCCATATACATATATTAAAATGGATAAAATAGTAATAAAGCATCTCCAGGTGCCTGCAGCCGCCACAGCGGAAATGCTTTGTGGGCCCCGTGTTGGGAACCTCTGCTTTGGAGCTGTTCTGAAATAGAATTGGTTCTCCACCCCGGCACAGAGCATTTAGCAAAGCCTACTGCCATTACCCAGCACTAGAAACGCTCCCTCTTTCCTAGATTGTGCACTCCTTCTTCAGCACATGACCGACACACATTGATGGAACACTATAAAAAGTGATGCAGTGAGAGAAATAATCACAGCATGATTTGTTACATTTGGCTCCATTGTTATTGTTATTGTCTGAACAAAAACTCATGTAGGGTGACTATAGCATCGGCACTTACTTATGAGTACACTGAACTGTAGCCTAAATGTGTTTAGACTTCTCAGTTCTTATTGGGTTGATCTAAATTTAGTCATGATAAAAGAGAATATCAATAGGATTGAAGTTAGCCATGACTAATTTTTCTCATTGATTTCAATGGGTCTACTCTGTCTAAGAATGCATGTATCTAGTCCATGGCTTTTAACATGAAATTGAAAAGACATATTAGATGGTTTACATAGAAGTAGTTATTTTTGTTGGCAAAATTTGAAGTTAACTTCCCCAATAGTTAAGGCATTTATTTAGACTTGTAAGTGTACTGAAATTGGAGGGATCTGCAGCAAAATGCTTACTCAGAATTTCGCTCCATTTCATTCTGTGTAGCTTCCTCCTTCCTAAATGTGTTTAGCATTTTAGCTTCACTCATGAATGCAAAAAAAAAAAAAAAAAACAGATTTATGTGCCAAGGCAAGAATATGCTTTTCATTTTTCTGTGCTAGAAAGAATGCAGTCTGGATTCTAATTTCAAGAAGCAATCTTTTGTAGAAAACCAAATTCAATTAAACTCTACTATATTTCTTATCTGTCCCTGTCCAGTTGAGCTTTGACAAAGTGCACGTGGCTGTACGACATTAATAGAGGCTGAAAAATCGCATTTCCGTACTACAATTTAGTTCAAGATTTAACTTAAAGGAACTATAAATGAATACACTTACTGCCACAATAGAGTCCACAAGATCGCGACATCACTGTGTATCCTATCTTACATGTACAGGTTTTTACATGTTGACAATCAGCATTGGGACTACAGTTTTCAGCACAGTCACTATGGTAAAAACTTTTGCTTACATTCAGTCCTGGGAAAGTAAACAGGGCATTTCAGTAACCAAAAAACCCCCAAAGCCCAAAACCCCAACAACACCTCATACTACATCAAACAACATGTGCTTGTGCTCTTCATCCAGAAACATGCAGTAGAGAAGAAATGGAGGTCCCTAGGTAGCTGAAGAAGAAGAGATTTAAAACACCAATGCATTCTTGATTTGCTGTAAAACAACTAATTATTACAGTGTCTTCTAGAGAGCCAAGAGAAATGAACTAGTTACAGAATACTTGCAAACTCTCGTATCTTTGCATGATTCCACCTGAACCAGTGAGGCCAGGAATGCCACCATCATTGTTGGGAGCAGGCCCCACACTTCTTGATTAGCAGGCATCATGTGGGGGCATTGGGGTCAGCCGGACCAGCAACACCCAGTAGGGGCCAGTTTTGTTAGTGGACTGTGCCTGTGCCTGACAGTCAAAGTCATGTGGTTGCATAAGGTTGATTTAGCCATCCCTTGCCTCCTGGGTGACCCAGAATGACTTCCAGTATTGGAATAGGAGGAAGATATTGATAATGGTTAAAGAAGCTAGACTCCCATTCCTCACTCAGATTGGAGTACTTAACTTCATATCTGTCCCAGATTACTCTAAATGGTGCTTCCAAGGTATATTTACCCTATTTGGCTTAAATATTTGGCATATTGATTGCAAGTACCTGAGCTACCAGCTTGAAACCTGGCTTTGGTCTTCATCAAATCATAGGTTTGGAAGGGGCCCAGCAAGCCATCAGGTTCGACCGCCTGCTCAATGCAGAATTCAAGTCACCCATCCAGATTTCAGCCAGGCCCAACCCTGTTTAGCTTCCAAAATTAGGCAGGATCAGGCATTTCAGGTTATACAGAAGCTTGCTTAGCCCATGCCAAACGATGAGTTTAATAGAAGAAACTTTGTGCAGATGATTCTGTAACAATCAGGTGGATGCTAGTTCTCAACTCATGCACAGCTCCAGACAAATGAGGTTTAGCCTGAAAAGTGTAGAGCACACAACCCTCTCCAAGGCACTAACAGTGCGCATAGAGCTTTTCAACATAAGGCATTTATTGTGCACATCTGATCCTCCATTATTATCCTGTGGTTCAATGCTCAAGGATTTGTGGCATTGTTCCCCCAGTTTTTTATGCAGACAACATATCAGCCGTAAATGTGTTCAATTTGCTGGAGGATGATGGAAATTGCAATCCAACACATCAGGAAAATAGCAGGCAGGTAGAGGCTGATATAAGGTGTTCAGACTTAAACTGATATTGGAAAGATAAGCAAAGTAACTCTATGGGTGTTTGTTCAATAGCAGGACCCATTACATTCAGTGAAGTTTTCTCTTTCATAAGCATGTTTAAGAGTTTCAGTTCCATCATTAATGTGCAAAATTAGATTTGGGTGCAAAGTCTAGAATAATCCTTTCATCCATCCTAAATGGAATGCAAACTGGATTCTAAGGTTGCCCTTTGATATCTAAGACAAGAAGGTGTTGGGTGAAGAAGCTTGAGCAGCCCTGCCACATCCAAGTGTTTCAGCAGTCATCTCACAACCTGCTTTCACAGAGCTTCAGCTGCCATCCTAGGTTGCTTCACCACCTTCCCACCAACAGAATTAGAATTATATCTTTAGGTTGCAGGGGTGGCCCACCTGTGATCCTCCAGATGTTATTGGACTCCAACTTCCATCAACCTCATCCAGCACAGCTAATGGTATATTGGTATGTTTGCTTTCTATGTGGTGTATTTGAAAGCCCTGCTGAGTTTTAACAAAATGCACCTAGCAGTTCAGCATTAGCTATGACTGGAAATCACATTCTCTACAATTTAGCTCTAGAAGATGAGTGCAGTTTAAAGGAGAGGAGAAACACTCACTCTCACAACGGAGATCATATGAATGCACCACGCCAACGTCTCCTTGACACTCACAGTTGGATACGGAATCATGAATAGCAGTAGAATTACAGTTTTTGCTTTCATTTCTTCCAGGGTCACTGTAACACTCTTCTGAAGGAAAGAAGGAAAGAAAAAGCATATTTCAATGACAAAATTTCAGCTCAAACAAAAGTGAATAAAAGTGACTGTGCTCCATCCAGGGCCAGTCAGGAAACAGGAAACAGATGTTTTTAGAAAGCTGTAGGTGACCGGAAATACTTAAACCACAAATGAGTTCTTTATTTGCTGTACAAGGACGCCAATAGGAAAGTGTGAGGAATCTATTTTGGGGATGAGAACCAATCAGGTTTCTTGGGTTCAGCTTCCCAGACTCTGGCCAACCTTCTCACAGCCATGAGTTCAACTTCCCAGCAAACACACTAAGCATTCGTGCAGACACCACCCAGGAGTCAAGCTTGCGTGAACGCTGCGCAGGCAGCACCCATTTCCAACACATGTGACCTGCAGCCTTTGTTTACGTTGCACATGCTGTGGAAGTAGGTTGCTGGTGGTGCAGAGTTTCATGAGTTTTTACAGAATTCCTTTCAGCTTGGCTTGTTTCCTAAGCGAGGACGGAACACAAGACGAACCCTGATGAGCAGAAAAGGGCAGGAGTTCCAAAGAGATCATCACAAGCCTAAGTACTAACCAGTACACCTGCTTCTAGAAAGAAAAGAGAAATGAGCAGACTGTGTAATATAATTCAGATTATCGGAATCTTATCTTTGCTTGATTCTGTCTGAATCGCGTGAGCTTGGTGGCCAGTGATGTGGGACAAAAGGTGGTCAGTGAACACCAGTGTGAAGAGGTTCACTACGTGAGGCATTTATTGTGTATTCATTGTGCATTCTGAGCTTCTGTATAGCCTGAAGTGCCTGATCCTAATCTTGCAAGCTAAGCACAGTCAGGCCAGGTTGAGATCTGGATGGATGACTTGAGTCTGGCATTAGGCCCTTTCCAGCTGTATGATTCTATGATCACTCACTTGCTTAAAGCTGCAGAACATTTCCTTATCAGAACCTCTCTTATGTTTTCCAGCAGTTTCTTGAGGGTTTTAGATCAAGAAAAGTCTAGTATTAAATTCTAGATCACCAGAAATGGTAATGCAAGTCTCATGAAAAGTCGCAAATCCTCAATAACACACCATAAGTTTGGTTACCAGAACATACAGAGGCAGAGAAATAAAAACCCCTGTGCAGGGGACATGGTTTCTCTCCATCTATGAAAACAGAAATCCAATAAAGCAGCAGGTTAAATCCTTCCTCTAAAGAAGAGCAATTGTGGGGTCTAGTCCCCACACTGTTATATTAGCAGACATGACAAGATGGCATTGGGCTTGGACCAGCCTGCCACAACCTGTATGGGCCAGTGGCATTGGTGCACCATGCCTGCGTTGGTGGTGCTGGTCGGTCAGAAGCCATGCTTCAATTTGAAATTGATTCATCTGTCCCTTGTCAACAATGCCATAAATGAGTTCAAGTGAGCTCTGCACAGTGCAGGGATGGTCAAGCTTCCCAGACAGAATGTTCAGATGGATGGCTCCTTTTAAGAATGTAAAGGAGTCATGCGGGATTATAGGAAAGAGACAGCATGGCTGAAAACAGACTTTGGCTGCAAAGAAAATGAGCTGGCATAGAGGAGATCCTATCCCATCCCCACCCCACTTCACAAAAGATAAAAAGTTTGTACCTGTTCCAGTTACGATGACTACAAGAAATCCAAGGCCTAGGAAAATAATGACACAGAATGATGTTAAAAATCAACTCTCTGCTGTGATATACTCCCTTATTATTTTAAATGCATATTTCCAAGGCAGACAATGCTGGGAACTAAGCAAAAAGACCTCCAAAGATGCTATTTCTACCAAAAGGAGTATCTTTGAAATAGCACGTTCACCCCTTTGGCTTTGGGCTGAAATATTCTTACACCCTGGCTGTTCTGCGCTGGAGTTGGATTCACTGCTTTTCTCTATTTGTCCATTAGTATTAACAATATTCGTAACCATCATTACAAAACACCTGCATCTGTCACTTCCACTGGAGACCAGGTGAGATAAATGGCATCCAGAGTACATTATTGTGTCACAACAAACATAATTAGATACGAAATGAAAGTTTCCAAATAGGCCAATCTGAATGAGCACTATCTTAAAAGCATTCACATGGGTTTCCCATGTGCATGGGAATGTTTCCTGCCTTCTTAGAAATAAATAGTTTTCCAAACAGTGTTCAGTCCCTGCACTTGCCCCACCATGATCTGCCAAAGGCAAGTTATGTGTGGTTTTCGGGGATCAGAATGCATTAAGGGAATGCATCAGTTTTGCCCACCCCAAAACTCATACCTGACTTTCATATGAAAAATTAGAAGCCACTGTAATCAGAACAAACACATTCTAAAGACATACTGTAACTATTTGCCTGCAACATCTTCTGCATCAGATTGCACTGCCTTTTACCATTTGCTTTAGTTTTATTATTTACTGCCCCCTGCAACATCCTCTGGAACTGAGGTGTGGACTTCTCACTTCAGTCTTCCTACATAGGACACAGAAAACTGTGATAAAAGGTTGGACTGTCTGTCCACCTAGGTCAGTATTGTCCACTGCAGCTGACAGTGACCATCCAGGGTCTCAGCCAGCAGAGGGGTTTCTTGACATTTCCTACCTGATCCCTTTAATCTGGAAACACCAGGGGTTGAGCTAAGAACCACAAACATTCAGTGCATAGGCTCCAAGGTCTCTGAGCTACCTTGCATGGTTAGCCTAGACATTTCCTACTCACCCAGAATAAGGCAGCCGAGCATGTTGTTCATTGTCCTGTCTACACGGAACGAATGATAGTCAAAGCAAAGAGTCAAAGCATAAAGGAACTAAAGATGCTTAGAGCAGCTTCTTGGAACATGACATGGCAATATGCTACACTTCCCATAATCTGAGGCAGATAAAACATTCCCCAGCAGAGTGTGGCCTTCTTATGCACCCCTGCCCTTGCACGCATATGAATCACTGGTCCCTCCAGCACACTGTGGTCTATTATAACCAGCAGTCACCTTCCAAAGCAGCTTCCATAGGCAGCTAATCTTTCCAACATGCCTGTTTATGAGATCTTTTAATCGGGCATGCTGAGGATGAAACCCAGGCCTTTATGCATGCAAAGTGGGCACCCCACCAGAAAGCAATGGAAATTACTCCTCTCAACTACAACATTTCAGATGCAGATTTCAATTATGTTTCAGTTTTGAGACAAAAGCAGAAGTAACCATACTCAGTCATTAATATTACATACATCATTACAGGAAGTTAAGTTACTCAGTTACCTTCAGTAAAGCAGTATTGTCATTGACCATTTCACTTCTTCTCATAAAGCAGCTATTCTAGGAACCACTTGCCAATCTTATAAGAAGATAAGAGATAGTTTTTTATTGTAAAGATTCAGATTGAAAAAAGTTACGTAAAACCCAATTTCCTTCCTCATACAAGGCCAGACACCAGTTTAGACAGGTCAGCACATTCTTTAGAAAAATGATAAAAAATGAGTTGTAATTGCTGAATAAACTAGACCAGTGATGGCAAAACTTTTATTTATTTTTTATTTATTTAAAACATTTCTACGCCGCCCCCATCGCAACAAAGCCTCGGGGCGGCTCACAACAAAAACAAACAAAGCGAATGTCCAAACTGCAACTCAGAACCCACTTATTTATCACAAAGTGACAACACTGCAATCAAACCTGAAAACGGAGGTTTTAGTTTAGAAAAAAACAACTCATACATTAACATCTTAAAAGAAAAGATTTGTCTTAAAAGAAAAACACAATAACAGAGCTTTCAATGAGATATTTATATAAAGGGTGGCACATAAAAGCTTTTAATAAATAAATAAATGATACAAACAGCTTCTTATTGAAATGCTTTTGCACAATTAATGAGGTATTTGCTGTTGTGTGCGTGCTGATAATTTCTCAAACCTTGGCTCATACTTGGTTAGTTTGAGAGTGACACATGCAGCACTGTCTCTTGTATCAGATTTGATATAATTCAAAGATGAAAACAGCTGCTCACAAGCATAAAATGATCCAAACAAAGTAAGAAAAGCAATCCCAAGTGCTTTCTTTGACTAAAAATTGTTTGGCAGAGAATTCCCCACTTTAAGGATTTCATTTTCAGAACCACCAACTGTACTGTCCTTTGTCATCCCTTCACACTCTATCTTCTCAAGTGTTGCACGCAGGTCATAGAATTTATTTTTCAAGATAGAGTTTTCTTGAAATTTCAATAGCTCCATTTCCAGATTTTCAAGATCTAACCTGTGTAAGTAGGAAAGATCAAGTTCTTCAAATGTGAATTTATTTGGAGAAGTAAGAAAACACAGGGCTGTCTCCATCTTACAGAACTGTAAAAGTCTGTTACTAAAATTCTCCTTTGCAGCTGCTACAATGCTAGAAAATTCCTTGTAGATTTCCTGATGGCTTGTAGGATTGTCTGCAAATGTAAAATTTTCTAAATGCATTTTTAGATTTGGAAAATATTTCAGCTGCCCACTTTTAAAATCTCTTTCAAAAACCTGCAGTTTTCTCCCAAATGTTTTGATATCACAGAACATCTGCTGCTGCTGTTTTCCCTACACCTTGTAGTTTTTTGTTCAGTACATTGAAGTGTAGTATAAAATCTGTAAAAAACAGGAGGTTGTTAAGCCAGGCCATTTCAGTGAACTGTGGATATTCCTGCCCTTTTTCATTCATAAACAGCCTAATTTCATCCAAGCAGGCTACAAATCTCTCCAAGACTCATCCTCTGCTCAGCCACCGGACAATATTGTACATAAGTAAAGTATTATACTGTGTCTGAACTTCATCAAGAAGTGCTTGAAACTGTTGAAAATTAATTGTAATTGTAATTACAATTAATTGTAATTCACCATTTTTGTGACATCTTTGAGGATATCATCTAACTTTTTGCTACTTTCCCTGGCACAAAGAACTTCTTGATGTATAATACTATGAAACTGAAGGACTAGATGTTTTGCTTCTTTAACAAAGAACCGTATGAAACCAGATGTTGCCCCCACCATGCAGCGTGCCCCATAATTGAAACCACTTTTTCTGGTCTTATGTCTTGTGACAAAAAAGCCTCCATAGCAGCACTCTGGATATCTATTTCTGGCAAAGACACCAGTTTCACCAGCTCTTCTCTCATGATGTCACCAACAGCATAACACAAAATCACTGCTAGCCTTGCATGCTTATTTATATCTGTGCTTTCATCCAAGCACATGAAGTAACAGGCTGCCTTCTGCAAGTCAGTGGTGAGCTGCTAACTAACACGTTAGTTCCCACCAAGCTCGATGCCTTTCTGGCAGGATCCCCGAGCAGACATATGGGGAACCAGTCGAGCCCTCGGGGGACCTGAAGGGACATGCGGGGGGGGGGGGGGGACAGGTGCAGGCAGCTACCTGGAGCAGAAAGAGGCTCCTGCCCCATCAGGCCCAGAAGCACACACGATGAGCCACGTGCCCCCACACCCTGCAAGCAGAGTCCTCACGCCAGAGAAGCCAGAGCGGCCCAGGGGCTGGCAAAGAGGCAGGCCCAGCCTTTGTGGCCCCTGAACCCACAGAGAGCCCCAGGACTGGGTCAGAGCAAGACCTTCCCAGTCCAGCTTTCTGGCCACGCAACCAGTTGCCCACAGCAACCCACAAGCAGGACAGGAGCGCCATCCTCCCCCCTGCCCTTGCCCTGCAGCGCCCTAGAGGCGGGTCTTACCCTGGGGACCAGGAGCCCTGGACAGCCACGCCTCCTCCAAGCAGGTCCCCGATCCCTGCTAAAGGCCTCCCACTGGTCCCTCCGTGGGGCTGAACGCCAAGCTTGCCTCATGCACGGAGCCCTTCCCTCGAGCCATCCTGCACCCCCACCAATCCGCTTCCCAAGGTGACCCTTGCGGAGGGGGAAGCCTCCCTCCCCACAGTCTGGCAGCTGGCCTCACTCCACATGCCTCCGTTACCCCCTCCCGCTGCTCTTATGCCAAGCCGCCCCAGCCCAGCCGGTGCAACCCCTCTTCCCAGGGGGCCGTGCTGCACTTCTCTGCACTTCTCCCAGCTACCCGGGGCCCACCTTGCGTCCCTCCCCCCCAAGCCGGGCACGGGGGCTTCACTGGCTCTTCCACTGTCAAGCCCTCTCCAAATTATGCCCGGCATGGCACTGGCCTTTGTCAGGGTGCCCGAACCGGCTGCCCTCCACAACCCCGTCTTGCTCGCTCGCTGCCCGCTCGGATCCCAGGCACCCATCCTGGGGGTTGGGAGTCTTGGCCCAAGGCGCGGGACTTGGCCCCTGCTCGCTGCAACGGCATTTGCCAGGCTGCTGCCCGCTTGCCTGGGCTCGAGGAGATCCCTCGGCACCCTCCCCGGCCCGGTTTGCTTTTAGGAGCCTCGGCCACTGCACAGCTCACTGGCGACCCCAGATCATTCAGGAAAGGCTGCAAAGTGCCGGCCCCATTCCCTGTTCTGGGAGACTCCCCCCCCCCCCCCCGCTTTGTGCCGGCCCCACTGGGGGCTTCTCTTGCTCCACAGCCGCCGACTTTGTTCAGGCATCTCTGGCGAGGGACTCTGTCAATGGCCTTCTGGATGCCAGGCGAGCTGTGCCTGCCGGCACCCCCCTGTGCACTGACAGACGCCAGGGCGAGCGAGCCTTTCTCGGCAGGCGCATCCTGCTGCTCGAGAACAAATTTCAGTGTCAACAAAGCTCTCCAGCTATTGACCTAGACCCACGCCTGCAGCTCCTCCGATTCCACCTGGATCCCGTGGGATCGTGGCCATTCTCCAGGCCTCTGCTGAAGAGGCTGGTCTCACAGCCATGTCACATACTTCCACAATATGGCCACGATTTCACATCTGAGCGCCTTCACAGATTCCAGGGTGGCCCGTATCCAGGCCGGGTGATTTATTAACGTTCTGTTTGCCCATAAGGGCAAGAATGGCCGCCTGTGGCCCTGCCGACTGTGACTGCCGCAGACTCTCCTGCTGAAAACACCAGTCGGCCTGGGAGAGCTCCGCAGGGGAAGTCGGCCGCACTCATAGAAACATAGTAACAGAGCAAGTCAGAAGGGGTCTCCCAGGCCATCTAGTCTGACCTCCGGCACCAGCCGGCTTCGCTCACGACATGCCCACCATGTGCACGTCCAGCCTGTCCTTGAACACCCTCACCGATGGGGCCTCAACCACCTCCCGTGGAAGCCCATTCCACGCCCTTGGGGTCCTAACCATAAGGAAGTGCCTCCTGGCATCCAAATGGAGCCTTGGCTCCCTGAGCTTTGCTCCATTGGAGTGTGTCCTGCCTTCCACTTGCCCCGCTACGCAGCAGGGCCTGCTTCTCCACTCGCACACTGTCCATGCTGCATCGTGCCATGCTCCGGCAGCCTTTCTCGCCACTTTCCCACACCTGGCATATTCACGGAATCGTTTGTTGCCGGCCTGAGGCTGCTAGTGGCAAGCCCCCGAGACACGCTCCGCTTATTGCCCACCCGCCCGCCCTTCCTGTGCGCACACTCGCGCTCCCTTCGGCCTTCCCCACTTGGGCAAGACTTGCATTTCCAAAGGACGCCTCTTTCTCTCACAGCGTCCCTGGCCCTGCTTATTAACCACGCTGGAGCTGCCTGGGCTTGGCCCTGCCTTCCCCAGAGCGTCACATGCATCCCGGGCAGTGTACTTTGGGCGCATCACGAGGAAGCCGGGCTCCCTGGAGAAGACCATCACGCTGGGGAATGCCAAAGGCGAGCGAGGAGGAGGCGGACCAGCCAGGAGGTGCGTCGCTTCCGTAGTGGCAGCCACAGCCTTGCGCTGACATGCTGAGTTGGG